AAAAAAAAATTTTTTTTAAGTTTTTGGTCTTTTCCCCCCCCCCCCCCCCCCCCCGAAACGCCGTGCGTCGGCCATCGGCCGGTGGTGGGCTCTCTTCCTCTCTCTCAGGAGGCGCGGCTCGGTTCCTTTAGCGACGCCCCTTATTGCCCCCCCTTGTTCCCTAGTCGAAGCTTGTGCGTGCAAAGTCCTCGATTAGCATGACTACCCGACTTCTAAATAAGTGACCCCCATGCTCCCAACTTGTAACTTGTTGTGCGCCTTTGCGCCAGGCCGGCTGGGGTACAGGTACGTACGAGTACTTGTACCCTGCGTGAGAACGGCTCAAGAGATCAATGTGGGAACGCACGGCTGATGTCGCCCAAAGTCCACAAAAAAAAAAAAAACTCTCCTCTTTCCTTGTCCTCGTGGCCATTGCTGGGCTGTCGTTGACATTTCCCCTTCTGACGGCTGTCGTCTTCACCGAGAACACGTTCCGCTGTCCTTCGAGAAACTCAAAAGGTTGCCCATTGGGGAAATCATGGACGTTTGTCCGGTCTGCGTTTCCTGTGGCGTCGGAGACGGCCGATAGACAGACAACCTTCTTACTCTCAGACCATGGTAGTCGTAGTTGTCGAGCCCGACGCGTACGGGTACTCGCTGTACTGTACAAGCAGACGTCCCAACCTCTCTGAACGGGAAACGCTTGAGTCGTTGTGATGCAACCTGGGTAGTAATACTGAACAGCAAAGGGCTCCACTGCCGCGCACACGTCGTGGTACGGTAGCCAGCGCAGCATTTCGATGTGATAGAAGTCCTGCAAATTGAACTGTCTGAGAGCCCATGCAAATGGAGACCATCACCTGTCTAAGCCGTTCTCAGCATCCCTGGCGCCATGGGTCCGCCGGTTTTGGCGCGCAAAGGCAGACGAGGCTAAGGAAAAGAAGAAACATGTCCATGGGCCAAGTTGTTTTCGCATTGACTCCAGCTAGCTCTGAGGAAAATTTCGCCGCCTGGCCTGCCTCGCAAGCGAAGTGGTTGCAATTCCCAAGGCCCGCCGAGAGGCTGGTTCCTTTTGCCGGTTCAGGGGCTTAATCCAAGCGCCTCCAGATTGTGGATCGCCTGTAGATAACGTTAGTATTCTCTCCTCGTCTTTTTTTCCTTCTTCCCCTAGGTGAGATCCGCATGCAGCATGGACAGATTCGCTCATACCGCCTGTTGGTACCAGCAGCAGTGGCAGAAGGCCTGGTGTCTCCGTGATATGCTACGTACTGTACATACTGCTAGTGCAAGCAACGGTAGGATCAGTTATCGCAGAACTTGGGCTCGCTTGTGTCCGTCAACTTGACGTTCGTCGCGTGGCGGTATACTCGCACATATTTGTAGTAGCCGTTGCAACGCCGCTTCGGCACTAAACACTGAGGGCAAGTCGATCTTTTGTCCTGCTCCATCGGGGTTCATGACGCAACGAAATGAGATATCTCGCAGCCTCCTGCGTCCTTATTTGTTGTCCAGCTCATCATGACAAGGCCTTGAACGCCATTCGTCCATGCTCTGCTTCTGGATGGATCGACGATGGGTCGTCGACGCGCAACTAGCACGAAGCCATCCTTGCCCCTGCGACATTAAGCAGCTAGCCCAAGCCACTTTGGGGGACAGACTGGAGCCTCGCTGGGTCGCAATTCGCGGGTCTGGGAGTAATTTAGTCGTAGCTCCTTGTCGCAATACCTGTGCAGACACCAGGTATATGTCGCCTTGGTCCGCAACAAAACAAGAAGAGGTCGGTCGTCTCTCCACGATGCGCGATCCCTCATCCCGTTTCCTTTGGTTAAAAGAGCTCGAGTAGCAGTCGCTTCTTGTCCACCGTTGCCATCAATTCGACAAGTCGCTTCGCCCTCGTGGTATATGGCTCCGTTGGCGTTATAGTCGTCGCCCTTGCTTTTCTTTGCCCTCAGCCTGGTGCTGTCTTTCGCATACCCACCCACGGCCATCACAAGTAGAATTCTCCGCAATCTTGTATACATCTGTCGCCAAGATTCGGCTTCTCGATTCCGAAAAGAAAAAAAAAGTATCCAACCGCAATGCATACAGCCAAGTTGTTCGTCTTTGCCATCGCTGCAGCAACCGCGGCGGCAAACAGCGTTGCAACTGTCCTCGATACATCAACAGCACAGCACATCTCCATTGGGACCGAGGGCGGGTTTTCGATTGCGGAGGATGCCACTGTTCCCGTTGTTTCAGCTTCCGTAACACAGGCATCACGGACGGATGTTGAGGCGCCAACGACTGAGGCCAGCTCTTCCGATGCTTCTGCTTCTACCATCGGTGTCACACGGCCTTTGAACTTTCCAAATGCGACATGTAAGATACCGCTATCCCCTCGGGTTGAAGTTCGTTCCTCTTGCTAACATTGAGATGAAGCGACGTTGGCTAGCAGCGTAGTTCCTACAAAGTCACAGAATACCACGACGCCCACCAGCCACGTAACTGGTGGTGCTATTCCGCAGCAGATGCAGAGCTCCATGGCTGGGCTAATAGGGTTCTGCATCATGGGTTTGATCATGTTATAGACGGAGGCAAGAAAGGCTGTTATGAATAATGACGCTGGACGATTTGCGCGCCACGTATAGAATGTGTCCCAGGTAGGACACGGGCGTTTAAGAAAACCAACAAGATACCACGGACCATGGAGTCCACCCTCCTTTAACTGGACAGGAGTTTATAACCGATAATAGAATAATTGTAATCAACAATTTCACGCATGGATATGCAACACCGAACCAGGCATCAGCTCTGCTGAGAGACTCTTGATTCGCGATGATTCGAGTGATTGATATGGATCGGTATGCTGATGAGTTGTAGTTTGCATTCATGGATTTTAGGTGAATATGTAATACACCCTTGGTATCTTGGTTTGTTGTGTTGGCAGCATTTAAGTGAGATGGCCGTCCTTTATAGGCCCATTCTCTACTGACAACACATCGGCAGTGTCTTTTTTCTTCATAATCCCCCACATGACCTTGAAGTCTTCATGGTATTCCTGGAACCTGTCTCTTTAAGTGACTGAGTCTTTGCCCCAGAGAGCGCTACTCTCGAGGCACACATATTTTTGCGCCAGTAGCATGGATGCTCGGGATGACTTTAGTCTGTCACTGGTATATCGTCGTCTTCTCGTCGAGGTCTACCAAGACTTTGCACGGATCAATCTGAGAAGCCTCTTAAGAACGGCCGTTGGGGCGCCGTGGACGCCATGCGAGCCTAATCAGTGCGGTATCTCGATGTATTTGAAAAAAAAAAACAAGTCTCTGCTCAGGGAAGCTTGGAATAGCGACGGCTTTAAGCAGCGACGGGTATCTGGCCACCAGTGTTGCCAGTAGGAGGAGGCTTGGGTAGGTCGTCCTGAATGCTACGTTAGCGAGACGCTCGTCTTCAGACATGCCTTGGAGTATCCCACAAGGTCGAAAATGACTCGAATCATCAAGCTACAGCTGGGGCACACAGCGATATCTTGCTCGTCGCGCAGGTCATCGAGAGCGATCTGGAAGCGATCGCCGCAGGGACACGGGTAGTAGTACGTTTGGAGAGCCTCGTCGAAGGTCATGTCTTCGATTTCGATCTCGTCGTATATTGAAAGCCCGTCATCTGACATCTTTGTGGTGTTTGCTGGAGACACGAGTCACACGCAACCGGGTATTGTATTGTTTGTGTTTTCGGTCTAGGTAGGTATGGAAGAATGAAAGCGCAAGTCTTCACAAGCACTCGCCACCCCGCGATAAAGCCGGCAGAAAACGAAGAAGAAGAAAAACAGTTACAAACCCCACGAGTGTGGCTGGTGCTGTCATCTCATCTCTCCTGTGGCTGATGCTAACAATCACATGCCGGGGCTTTCCCTGGAGGCTGTGGCGCTCAAGTCTGGGGAAGCAGCGCCGCATGCTCTTGCCAGGCCGAGGCCAGTGGACGCATCTCCACCCAGGCCTTATCGTTTATTTCCAGCAGCTGCCATTTGGTATTTTGATGTCATCACCATCAGACATCACCACCAGCTAGCAGGCGCTCTGGTGGAAGAAACAACTGCAAAAGACTCACGAATATCCTCACGGCGCACATTCTATTAGACAAATCCAGCTGCCGTCTCTTCCGTACAGCGACCGCAGCTCAATCGCCGTGAGCTCTCGCCCGCGATAACCGAGTCCAGCCGCGGCGATTCGAGGCCAACCAATGCGCCGTGCCGTCGACGATAGGTGACGAGCTGGGCACGAGCTTCCCCTAGCCAGGCATTGAAGAGCACAGAGGCAGACGCATAGGCAGACGCAGCGCTTGAAGCCATGGCCTGGCAGTCGAAACTCGCCCTGTCCAAGGACCGCACCATTCGCGGCATCATCACCAACCTCACTCGGTTGTACGTCAAGCACCGAACGCGCATCTCGCGTGCCATTTGGATTTCCCTCTTCGTCGCTCTCGCAAACCGCATTCGCCATGCAATCTTGGAGCAAAAGGCCGCCTCTGCGCGCGAGGCCGCTCAGCGGGCCACTCGCCAAGGCACCGTCACTGCCGGCTCGGAGGAAACACCCAGAAAAAAGGTCGCCCTGAATCGCGAGTTTTTCAGGTCCCTGATGCGCCTGAGTAAGATCGTAGTGCCTGGCTGGAAGAGCAAGGAGGCTAGGATGCTGGCTAGCCACAGCTTCTTCTTGGTTCTGAGGACCTTGATTAGCGTTCGTGTGGCCGAGATGGACGGTGCCATTGTCAAGGCCCTAGTCAAAGGCAATGGCAAGGAATTCCTGAAGCGTATCGTCTGGTGGATGCTAATTGCCGTGCCCGCCACATTTACAAACTCCATGGTAATAATTTATCCCTTTGCCTATCCAAGGGGCAATGCTAACTCGACTACTTGTGCAGCTTTCCTACCACCAAGCTGAGCTGTCTCTGCAATATCGGACGAGGCTGACACAACACATCCACGACAAATACTTGTCCAAATTAACCTTTTACGGCATCTCGGCACTTGATGATCGTATAAAGAATCCAGACCAGCTCATCGCTGTTGATGTATCAAAGTTCTCCAACAGTCTGGCTGAGCTATATAGCAACCTTGCCAAGCCAGCGCTCGATATGGTTTGTTCTTCTCATCCCCCTCATTTACCCCAAACCAAAGAAGCGAACATCCGAAACGACTAACCATCTTCTTCCGCTAGACCATTTACACATATGCATTATCTAAAAGCGTGGGAAGCGAAGGCGTCATTTTCATGTCCTTGTTAGTTCAGCTCTCAGCAAACCTGATGCGTGTCTTGACGCCGCCTTTTGGTAAATACGTCGCCGATGAAGCCCGCCTGGAGGGAGAATTCCGATTCCAGCACTCCCGCTTGATCGACTACAGCGAAGAAATCGCTCTCTACGGCGGCCACATCGCCGAGAAGGATACCTTGGATAAAGGCTACTTTACGCTCATCAAGCATGTAAACTATATCCTTCGGCGACGCTTCTACCACGGCTTCATGGAGGATTTCGTTATCAAATACTTTTGGGGTGCTCTGGGCCTGCTACTTTGCAGTGTCCCTGTCTTTGTTAAGCTTCCAGGGCAGCTGGTCATGAACATGGGAGACAGGACCGAGGCCTTTGTGACAAATCGCCGCATGCTTCTCTCCGCATCTGACGCTTTTGGCAGAATCATGTTCTCTTACAGAGAAATCATGGAGCTGGCTGGGTATACTTCCCGAGTTGCCACCTTGCTTAACGTCATGGATGACATCCAGATGGGCCACTTTGAGAAGAAGCTCGTCTCTTCTTCCGGCACAGAGGACAATGAGGCAGTCCTCAAAGGCCGCGGTACTGTCCACGAAAGCAAAGACTACATCAAATTCGAGGATGTGTAAGTCCAAAGGCCGTCTACCATTCTTTCAATGCCTGAACGCTAACAGATCCATTACAGACCCATCATCTCGCCCAACGGCGACGTTCTCGTCAAGGCGCTCTCTTTCTCCCTCTCACACGGCGACCATCTCCTCGTCGTGGGTCCTAATGGCTGCGGCAAATCATCCCTGTTCCGCATTCTCGGAGGTCTTTGGCCCGTCTACGGAGGAACCGTCTACAAGCCCCCCTTCACCTCCATCTTTTACCTCCCCCAACGCCCATACCTATCCCGAGGCTCCCTTCGCCAGCAAATTATCTACCCCGACTCCCTGCGCCAGATGCGCTCAAAGGGCGTCAACGACTCCGACCTACTCTCGATCCTCACCACCCTTGGCCTGGAACATCTCATTGAGCTCTATCCCGAAGGCTGGGACGCCGAAGCCGAGTGGCGCGATGTCCTTTCCGGCGGCCTCCAGCAGCGTGTTGCCATGGCGCGCCTGTTTTATCACCGGCCGCAGTACGCTATCCTTGACGAGTGCACAAGCAGCGTGACGCTTGAAACCGAAAAGGTCATGTATGAAAACGCAAAGTCTCTCAACATTACGCTTTTGACGGTCAGTCATCGTCGCAGCTTGTGGAAATACCACACGCATATTTTGCAGTTTGACGGGCAGGGCAACTACGTCTTTACGAAGCTCGATGCCGAGAGACGTCTGAGGCTGGAGGACGAGAGGGAGGAACTGGAGATGAAATTGAGGCAGGTGCCTGAGCTGGAGAGGAGACTGGAGGAGCTGACTACTCTTTGAATCTGAGTTTCTGCGTCAACAATATAGGTTTATCTGAAGGCGGAGGTGTTTTGCTATTTGCTATTTGCTATATACTATATACGTGAGATGTTTGTATGACTAGGGTCTTGTGTGAGAAGCGGATTTTCGGGGTATCAACATGACTGATGCCGGTTTTCTTTTTGATTACGCAAATTTATTATATTTCTAGCCAACCCTTGAATCTTTTTAAAGATACCAATCAAGTGAAATGGCGTATGGACTTTATCAGGGGGAATGTGATATATACAAATTCCATCGCTATATCCAAAATTATTTAAAACGCCTACTATCCCGAATAACAATGACTTCCTCATCCTCATCGTCTTCGTCTTCAAAATCTCCCTCGTCAAAATCGCCCTCCTCAGTATCGTCGTCGTCGTCGTCGTCGTCGTCCCTCAACTCAGACTCAGCTGAATCTTCCAACTGGCTCGGATGGAATTTGCAGTCCGCCTTATGAACAGTGTTGTCATTCTCAAGGATCTGTCTATGATCTGCACCGCACTCGTAGCAAAACTGGTGCTTGCACTTGACGCCTATCGGAGAAATAAACACTGGTCAGTTTAAATCGAAATTCTTTATCCTGTGCAGTAGATGTTATGGCTGTCGTTCCAGATGTTGCCGCAGCCCCAGCAGAACTCGTGCCGGCATTTGATACCTGTTGTACTCTATGTTCAGCAACTTCCCGGCGATTTTTCTGTTATAAGAGGTTGGGAGGGGAGACAAAGGACCGAAGAAAGGTTTGATACAAAAAGAAAGTGTGTATTATAAGTACGCACCATAGGAATTGGAGCAAAATAAAACGAGTGAAAATTCAAGGAAGTAAATGAGAAAAGCAAAGGGTGCAACTTACAAGTCATATGCGAACTAAGAAAACCGTTAGTAATCTCTCTTTCTTACGTGACAGACATGGAAAGCGTAGAATCAGTTGCAACATACCATCCGTCGTTCTTTTCAATCGCCCATCCACACCCGGGGCAAGGTTTTGTTGTTCTCCCGACGGTTTCCCTGCTCATATCTTCTTCAGCCTTCCTCCTCGCCGCAATTTGCCTCGCCAGCTCTATGGCTTTCCTGGTCCTCTCCCTCTCTTCACGTTCTCTCATCTCTCTCATCTCTCTAACTCTCCTCTCTTCTTCAAGTAGGCCCTGTGCCATGGCTCTGTCGGCTTGGAGCTGTGCCTCCTGCGCAGCCGCCCATGCTTCGTTATCGATTTCGAGCTTGGAGCGGAAATTGTCTGGGTCAGCAAGCAGCTGATCGTACTCGTCGCATGTCAATCCCTGGTGCCATGCGACGTTGTGATGAAAACAGGATCTATGGGTGCAGTGAAGGCATATTACTATGGGCTGATCTTGACCAGACTCATGTATCTGACCAGAACCGCAGCCAGATGTGCACCAGAAGAAATTTTCAGCCTCAGCCATAGCAGCCCGGAGAGCAAGCGTCTCGTATCTAACCACACACGTCAGATGATAAGTACTTGATTGCCAACAGGGGAGAATAAAAGACTTCGGAGTATGCACCTTTTGAATGTCTCTTCATCGGCGTAGCGCTGGATGTCTGTATAATCTAATAATTCGCGGCATTCAGGACATCTGATGTCTGTCCAGATTTTGCTTGTCAGATCGGACCGGATAGACCTCTCCAAGCACTCGAGACACGCCGTGGGGGGATGTAAGCAAGACGCTGTTGGAGAAAACCGGGGGAAGAGAATGTCTTCCTTGGTATCAGTACATATTGAGCAATCGCGATCACCGCTGTCATGATCCGACGGTACACGCTGATGCGTAACCAGGACAGTAGCTGTCCCGGGGTCTCTTTGATATCGTTGTCCGAAGCTAATTCAAGCCATATTTAAGTAGAATATCCCAATAAAAAAACAGATCCATGAAAACCAGACCACGCCAATAATTGAAAACGCAATGTGGATGTATAAAGGGGACGATTGTGTAAGAACCCAAACAAGAAAAGAAACGGCGAACAGTACAAGCCAACGAAAGCCGTGAGGAAAGCCCGCCCGCTATTCTATTCATCTGTGGTGCAAAAAGAACCAGGCATACGGGGAGTCGAAAGGGGCAGAAAATCGGGAAGCCTACCTGAAATCATCAGCTTCATCATCTCCACGTCTACCAGACAGGTCCAGACGGCGCTGATATGCCACCGTCATGGCCGAGTCTTGCTGCTCAAGGAGATCGACGTACGGGTTGCTCGTGGCAGGAGTAGAGGAGCCAGTGGACGCAATAATCTCGTCTTGGCTACTACCCGGGCGTCGAGATTCGTTTTCGACACTCAAAAGCTCCGTCGAATCGGTGCTAGGCGACGGTGGATTCAGAATGTCGTCCTCATCCTCGTCCTCGTCCTCGTCCTCGTCCACAAAAACTTTGACTGTCTCTTTTGGTGGGGCTGCAAACTCGTCATCGTCAAATAAGGCAAGATTAATGCGATATCTGAACCCGGCGTCCGGGCTGGCCGTTGGAGCAGGTGCAGGTGCAGTTAACACGAGGGGAAACTGATTCGTTGGTGGTAGAGCGACAGCTGGTTCATCTTCCTCATCCTCTTCTTCGAGCTCCTCCTCTACATCCTCTTCCTCCTCTTCCTCCTCACCCTCTTCCTCACCCTCTTCCTCACCCTCTCCTCTCTTGACCGTCGTTGTTGCCGCTTCAGGTTCTTCTTCGGTCTCCTCGTCGTCCACCAGCCATATGGAGTCGTCATCGTCGTCTCCAAAGCCGCCCATGATGGCAGGGTTAACCATCCCATAGTGCGAATTGGCAGAATGAACAAACATGTTGTTCCGCATGGCGGAGGTTTCTACAAACGGAACGTACTTGGTCGTATATGAGCCTAGCCCAGGCTGCTCCGGAACGTCAACCTCCTCCACGGGATCCTCTGCAGGAACTTGTTCAAGCGCGGGTGTATGGAGGACACTCGAGTCGTCTTGTTTGAACCGAAACTGCAGCGCTTGTTCAGCAGGCGTGGGATCCTCTTCCGGCTCGGTTGTATTAGTCGCGGTGCGGTCTTCCGTAGAAGTTGACGGCGGGTATGAATCGCTCTGAATGGGCCAGTCAACGTCGACGGGGGTTATCTGGTCGATGGACTTGTTGTTCTTTCGTCTGCGAAGAACGGCCTCAGTCTTTCTCTTGATGGACCGTAACATGCTTGTCGCTCAAGGTGTGAGTGTGATTGCGGCCACCCCCTGGTCCAGCTTCTACTTATACCGCGGGCATATGCAGGGGAGGGATGATGGGCGCGAAGCAATTGTGTCTGGTGTGTGTGACTAGGCCAACGATAACGCAGAATCCGATTTTGGCGTGAGATGTGGTGAATGTTAATGAAGCGCGCAATCAAAGTGGAAGTTGATTGAAAAAGCATCCATAGTTTTACGTTGAAGAGGGAAAGAAAAGAAGGGAACAAAGGCTCGGCTGCTTGCAGGAGATACCTTTACAGGTAGCTACCTAGCTGTACGAGGGCGGGAGCAAAGCTGAGGCTGGCAAGCTGGGAGACGCCTCGCGATGGATAGCGGAGGCAGAAGAGCCCCAGCGCCGCGGTCTAGCGGTCGTCATAGCGCTGTAGCAGGCTGCCAGCAGCAGCATTCAGCCCACAGCACGCTGTAAATGCGCTAGCGGCTAGTGCAGTCCATAAGCTTTCGGACTGAGGTCATGTCGTGTACATGTACAGTACTTAGGTACTTGGCTGAAGGACGAAGGAGTGTGCCTTACAGGGATCAAGGCGTGTGCATACAAACACACACTCGTCACTTCTCACGCCCCCCAAAGAAGCCAAAGGAAGAGGAGGAGGAGGAGGAGGAGAAGGAGGAGGAGAAGCAGCCCGTCCGACCATCGGTAAAGACATCGCAGGGCGGTCGGCAATCATATGATTTGCGCGAGGGGAAAGCTAACCCGACGCCCTTCAACGTGGCCCTGCCTGGACGAGCACGATGACTGCGTTGGTGAAACGAAGTCGAGTGGGAAGAGGGACAATCTACTATATCCAGAACAGATTGATCGCGTACATACGTGGCCCTGCTATCGTCCTATCAATAAACTGCCAGACGCAAGACATGCGGCAAATCAAGCATTAGTAACCTAGCAGTGCACATGTACTAGTATTGATGGCCAAAAATAAAGAGAGAGTCCGAAAGCCTTGTAAACGCCCACCCACATGCTCCCCCATACTGTACGCATACATGATGCGCGGTTTCACATACTGCATGTGCCTCGAGTTCTCCAATCCCATGGACCCAAACCGCAAATCCCTGTTGTGCTCGTATGCGATAGAGCTACTCGCTTGTACTCGTACTGCTGCTGCTGCTGCCCAGTAGATAGTACTCGTAGGAACCAGATAGTCAACCCAGCCACCCTTCTCCTTTCTTCCGCGACTTTGGGAAGCAGAGGTAAGCGACAAGTGACGGGTCGCCGTCTTCTACAAACTTGTCCCTCTTCTCCTCGGGGCCCCAGGCCACCAGCATCTGCTGCTTGCGTACAATCGACGGGGCCTTGATGGCGTCACGCTGCCCAATCTGGCGGATGTACAGAGCTGGGACAACGGTGCACACGTTGAACAGATCCAGGTAGAGCTCCTTCTTTGTGGGTCGAGGATCAAGCTTGGCCATGTTGAAGGCCTTCCTGCTCTGCAGAATGTTGCGGCAATCAAGCTTGTCGACGTTTTCGACAAACTCTGGCGAGAGCGCGAACCGAGAGCCGCTCCACGAGATGTACGGCTGGATGTCGAGATAGAAGTGGTGCGTAGACACCTGGATCTTTTCGTAGAGCGCCATGGCGGGCTTGACGCAGTTCTCCTCCATGTTCTGGCAAAACCACTGAAACTTGTCTTTTTTGCAAAAGATGCGAAGGATATCTGCGAGATCCAGCGTCAGGTCCCTGCTGCGCCGCGTGCGCACCGATTTAAACTGCGGCGCGCTCATCAGGGCGCTGTAGCTTTCGGCAGTCCATGTGCGAACTGCAAACAAGTCTGTTTCAAAGACATCATGGTTAGCTTGGGTCCGTCTTTACGTCTCTGGGATTTACAAGCGCCTTACCTCTCTTTGGCTCAACCGAAGTCTGCATCTGCGTCTCGATAAAGCTCACCATCTCAGTATAGTTCTGAGCAGAGCCGTAAAGGACCTTTTGGAAGATATGATCATTGAGAAATCGCAGAATGAGGGCGGCAATAATGTCCTCGTCCGTCTCGGGGAAAAGGCAGGCGTGGACCAGATCTGGATGCTTGTGCAGAGCTTTCTTAAACTTGGACGCTTCTCCAGACTGCTTCCGGACGCTGTTGGCGAGAGCCTCGATGCCAGACTCGTAGTCATCCAACCAGGGTTCCATGAATTTTTGAACCCAATCTTGGACTTGTTCAATGAGGTCGTCGTATTGCTATAGACAGAGACAAAATACGTCCTGCGTCAGCAGCTGTTAGGGTAGAGGGGGAGGGGGAGGATGTTGAGTGGTCTTGTCATATCAATCAATCACTTACCCGTCCTACTTCCTCCGGCGTAAGGTCCTTACGATACGGCTGGAGACTGAAGATGTGCGACTGCGCATCGTTTAATTCCTCTCGCAACAGGCGATTCTCCTCCTTGAGCCTGCTCAGCTCTTGACCAAGCGAGTCCGCATCCTTGGCAATCTCCTCCATGTCAGAGTTGAGCAAATGTTTCAAATCTTGTATCTGCTGCATCGCCCTGCCGGCCTCTCTTTCGGCGCTCTCTTTTTCGGCCGTCAGCCTGGCAATGGAGTCTTGGAGCTGCCTGAGCTGGGCCTGATCTCGGAGCTCATCGCGCTGTCCGATGGAGAGGCGTCGCCGCGGTGTAAAGCTTTCACTCTCCATACTATCGAAGCTCTCTGCTGATGCGTATATTGAGCCGGGAATGTTGGTCAAGTCAAAGCCGTCGTCAGAGGTATCGTCGAGAAAAGGAGCTGGTACGCTCAAGGTGTACTTCCTCGCAGGGACAAGCTCTGGGTCGATGGGCTCGGTGACTTCGTCTGAAAAGTCAAGGAGGTCTACTTCGACAGGTGCATCCTCTTGCTGTTCCTGGCTGTTCCCGGGTTTGTCGTCACTCTGGTCCATCTCTTTCTTGCCGTCCTTGCTCTTCTCTTCAACCTCGTCCTTGTCGCTGGATTTGGTCGGTTTTCTCTCCTTGCGGAGGACCGCGTGGCCATTAGATGCTCGGTTTCGCATGTCGTCGAGGGGGATTGTTCCTTGGCCTTTGTCCGGCGACATGGTGGTCTGTGCAATGCAGATGCCTAGAGGTGCAATGCGCGCTGTGTATCTAGGAATGCATCAAAGATGGGATGAACTCGACAGCGCCTAATTCTGGCTGGAGACAAAGGGCTTTCAGATGCAAAAACAAACATACAAACAAACAAACAAAGAAGTCGTATTTCTAGAGCTCAAGATCCAATGCCAGATCTTGCCTCTTGCCAGCCTGTGATGGTGGCGCTTGCAGCTCACTATCCAGTGATTGTACCAGACGCTTCACAGCCCCGGGCTGAATGAAGCAAGGCCCCCATGGCGCATGTCACCCAGTATGCCTGGTCAGGTACTCGTACGTGCCAACTTGAATGCCTACCAACTGCCAACCGCTACAGCACAGCACAGCACAGCACAGCACAGCACAGGCATCCAAAGAGCCACTGATTCAATATCGCTCAACCTGCACGCCCCCTCCTTCACGATCCATGATCCCAGGATGCAGTGACTAGCGGAATTCAGCCTCACAGTAGCTCGCCGTGGTAGAAAGAGGGGACATGGAGCCCATCCGCGGCCCGTTTCGGACGCGGGAGGCCGATAATGTCCCGGCTTCACTGTGAGTACTCGTACGAGTACATGCGCGTACCTGTGACCAGTCTGCAGCAGCTCGTTTTCAGACAGCCGGGCTGGTTCAAAGGCAATGCTGGCGCTTGGTTACTTCAATGAAATAAAATTTGGGGAATAAGCAAAGACTACCTAAATTAGAGTGCTCAACAGAACTCAATCCAGGAGTTTGCTTTACATGTGAGTGGTTGCTAGCAACGCCATGGCGTACATGTGCCTGGCGTGTGCCGCCATCTGTGGCTGATACAGTGCGTCAAAGTCGCTGCTGCACACCGTACACCACCGTACAGGCAGGCAGGCATCAAAACTTCAACAGATTGTACATTTTGCAACAACATGAGCCTCGGCCAGATACAACGCCATATCGAATCAGCCTCATTATGGCTCCCAGAACGATGGATGCGGGCGCTGAAACTCCATAATATCTGCCTCCAACATATGCCGTGGCTGTAACCGCAACCCACCATGGACAGTCACCCAGGCTTCGCTCAGACTGGAACCCTTCATCAAGATATCCAACCTGACGGATTCGATAGACGGCTGTATAAATCAGCCCAACAGCTTCGGCATTCGAACCCCTCAACCTGGACTTGACCCATCGTCTATTCCGCAGCGAGCTCCAAACGCCCATTGTGCAGTGGACGAGGGCAATGCTCGGGGAAAAGATGTCAACCAAAGCGATGGCCGCTCCAGCAATCGACGAGTTGACACTATGGGAGGCAGCCAGAGTGCCCAGGAATACAGCAAAGTTGAAGTTGAGACCCGGAAACGCCTGAGCAATTGCAAGTCCGGTCAAAAAGTCTCGTGAGCTGACCTACCCTTCGGCGGCGACGTATTCTCTAAGCAACGGGATGACAACCAGTCCACCGCCGAAGATTATTGTACCTGCGAGATACAGGTTGGCAAACAACTGCAGCGACACCGCCGAGAAAATGGAGCAAGGGAAAATACCAAAGGGCGTTATACAACATGCCAACAACACTGCTGAGAAACACCAAAGTACTAGTGAGATTGTCCGTAACGGTGCTCTTTGAGAGCTGCACAGCTGCCAGGGCAATGATGCCGACAGTAGCCGCATCAAGTCCTGATAAGAGGGCATAAACGGCACGGGGAAAAGCAGATCCGATGCTGGAAACACCGATGGCAAGACCAGAGTTGATGCAGTATAGCATCTTTGTGCTTCCCGGACCACATAGTGCCTGAACAATACCAAAGAGCTCTTGATACTAGAATTTGCCATACTAGATGAGCGTGGAAATCAACTCCTAGAGAGATGGGACATGAACAAACCAGTTGCTCACCAATCCACTTCAACTTGGTAACAGAGTTTCACCATAACTTCCTTCAAACTCTGTTACAATTGTTTGCAGAAGTGTGTGCTAATTTTATACGAGATCTAGCGCCTTCTATAGCAACATGCCATCCATGGATCTCATATTGGCCGCCTGACTCTCGGGCCACCACGTGCTCGTCCATTGGTATATCGGAGTCTTTCCGATTTTGTGCTATATAAAGCATCGATATAAGTATGATGGCCACCTTTTGTAGCAACTCTGGGATCTCTACGGAGTACCAAGAATAACACAATGGAAGATGGATGGCTTAGAGTTAGGTTCAAGGTTCTTACAAAAATGCGGGTGGCCGAGATTACGCCGTATTATTAGATCTGTCATGGAATGAAGCTTTAAGGCTTCGGCGATTTTCCAACTACATGTAGCTAGTAGTAACCTACCACCTACTACTGTTGACAGCACATGCGTGTCAGTAACAATGAAGTTGAAAGTTGAACTCCATAAAATAAGGTCGTACCTGGGTGCGTGCACTGTACCAGCCACATTGCGCCACAAGGCCGTATCAAGATGTGAACTGCTCCACGCGGGGAATCTCTGAGACGCAGCAAATGCTCTGTACTGGACTATGATCAAATGACATCAAATATTGTTTCAGCTGTGAAGGATTCATTACCACGTCCACCATGTATTCAGTCCACGTTGCAGCCCCCATCCATACCACCCAGCTGTATCCAAAAGTATGGAGTCGCTATGCCCATCGACTGATCTTAAAACGGCACGGCCAATATTGACGGAATACATCAATGGAGCTCAAGCTCCAGTTAGAGCTCGCCTCAATCCACTAAATCCCTCCACGCCAGCCGCTGCAGGCGCTACTCCGGAGGCCAAGCAGCGCTCGTCCAGTGAACGGCCTCGCTGGGCGGCGCCATCCGACTGCCAACGACCGCTGTATCCCCCGCTCTTCTAGAAGCACGCCCCCCATCTCCCTGGAGTCCATCGTGTCTGGTCGTATCGCATCTTCCCCTCACCACCAAACTCTGTGCTTCGAAACAAGGCAGATTTCCGCCTCACTCTCTGCTGTATCGGTACATGCGTTGACGCCCTGCAGACGCCAAGTACTGCTACCGGCCTGCTACAATGACGACGGGAGACCTGCCAGGCATCAGCCCCACCTAGCTGAATACCGCCTGGAGGCTCAAGGCAGCCCGCGCTCGGGCTTCTGTGAGCGTGTCGTTTGCTATCTACATATCTATCAACTTGCATCATCTATTGCTGAGGTGAAGCAGCGCTTAACTCTGCCTCTGGCATGCATCGACATACAATCATTGCCTCTCTGAGTCTCTCCGCGGCTGCGACAAGTGGTCAGCTGCGCCTCTGAAGAAACCTCTCAGGGCACCTTATTCCTTTCCTCCAATTCACTTATATGCTGCGTTCTTTGTTCCTTGTGTGCCACGAAGCCTACCTGGCCCTTCACCTTCTCCAGCTACCATTTGTCGTTGGCAAACGCCCTGGCTCTCCAATCGCCTGCTAGCTCGGCCTGACGGGCAAATATAGATATAGGGAACCGCAGGCCAAGCGCCTCTTTTGAACTCTTTTCTACATCCAATCCTTCTCTGATCCTGTTCCTTTCTGGTTCTTCTTTTTCTTCTCCACCACACTCTTGCATTCCCTGTCTGGCATCCTCAAGATGGATTTCGATAAGCTCTCCATCACGGATCGCAAGATCATCGTCGGCATTGATTTTGGCACCACCTACTCTGGTGTCGCGTGGGCAGAGACCCAGCGGCCGGACAGGCGGACGGCAATCACCACTTGGCCCATCAACAAGACGTCTCGCGAGGGTGAGTCTTCGGACAAGGTGCCTACCAAGCTTCGCTATGCCAAGGACGAAGTTCAATGGGGGTTTTCCATCCCCATTACCGCTCCTCAAGAAGAGGTTATCGAGTGGTTCAAGCTGTAAGTCGTCACCATCATGATCTATTCCCAAACACAGTTCTGTTCCTTGGTTTGAGCTGACATTATGCCGATAGCGACTTGGATCCATCCCTGAAAAACATTGGTCAGGCTGTTGCCAGTGATGGTGCTCGCGGAGGCAGAGATGCTGATAAGCTTGTCACTGATTATCTGACCGCCCTTACCGAGCATCTCCTTTATACTCTGCGTGAGAAGCTTGGTGAGAGCGTCGTCAAAAGCACTCCTCTGGAATTCATCATCACCGTGCCGGCTATTTGGAGCGATCTTGCCAAGGACAAGACCAAGAAAGCCTGCCAAAGGGCCGTTCAGTCCCTGCCTTTGGCACCTGGCTCGTCCAAAACTCTCATCCATCTCGTCTCCGAACCCGAAGCCGCAGCCATCTATGCACTGCATGGGTTGGATCCCCACGGCCTCAAGATTGGCGACACCGTTGTCGTCGTCGATGCGGGTGGTGGCACTGTCGATCTCATTTCCTACACCATTACTGGGCTGAAGCCCATTCTTCAGGTCCAAGAGGCTGCTCCTGGCTCTGGCGCCCTCTGCGGCTCGACCTTCCTCAACATGCGCTTCGCCAAGTTTCTCAAGGCAAAGCTGGGCAAGGAAGAAGGCTTTGACGAGGAGGTTCTCGCCGAGGCCATGGAGGTATTTGAAAAGAAAGTCAAGCGTCAGTTCACCCTTGCCGCTCAGCCCGATGAGACATACACAATCCCCGTCGGCGGCCTATCCAACAACAAGGCTCTCGGAATCACTCGTGGACGGTATGCTCTCAAAGCCTCTGATTTGAATACTATATTTGAGCCCGTCGTCCTCGAAGTCATCAAGCTTGTCAAGGACCAGATCACTGTTAGCAACGTGCCCATCCGTGCTGTGCTCCTGGTCGGCGGCTTCGGTGCCTCCAACTATCTCAAGGAGCGTCTGAGAAACGCAGTCGACAAGTCCATCCAGATCATGCAGCCTCCAAATGCCTGGCAAGCCGTCGTGCAGGGTGCGGTCATGAAGGGACTCGCCAACAGTGCACCCGACACTCTCACCATGGTCAAGGTGCAGAACCGCAAGGCAAGGAAGCACTACGGCACTGAGTGGCGGACCAAGTTCGACGAACGTGTCCATGGCCATATTTCAGACAAGAAGAGCTGGAGCGGCATGGAAGGCTATTATAAGGTTAACGCCATGGAATGGTTCATTCGCAAGGTATGCTATTCCCCCTATTCCTCCAACCATACGAGCTAACGCAAACGAAAAAAAAAAAAGGGCGATGCCGTCTCCGAGAACGAGCCTTACATCACGTCCTTTGTCTGGACAGGCCTTGTGGCGCACGGCCGTATCCGCAAGATGCGTATGACTATCTACTGCGACCAGTCATCCGAAGAAGCGCCCATTGATAGGAACGCGAATGTGCAAGTCCTGGCCCACGTTGAGGCCGACGTGAGCCACATTCCCGAGCATCTGCTCAATCGTCGCCAGGGCAAAGACGGGCAGATGTACTATGAGCTCAGCTGCAAGATTGAGGCCGTCTATCTCTCCGCCTCGACTACGTATACGCTCTTATATAACAGTATGTGATTCCCCTTTTCCTGCTTCCTATACACAGTTGGCTAACCATGACATGTAGATCAGCGGTACGATACGGTCACTTGCGAATATGTCTAAGTGGCCTAGATGAGGCAGTTTTACCTTGTTGTTCTTTTTGCTTTCTCTCACGTGCTATTTATATGGTGTATAAGGTCAATCTCGGGATATTAGCGAAACACATATGTATATAGAATTACCCTAGGCAGGATTAAGGTCACGATCGCAACGCACTTAGCAGATTATCAAATTGAATCTGATACAAAGGATGAAATTATATTTAATACACGCGAAGTGTCCACACTTTTTTCGCGGAAAAACAGTTATATGGCCCCCTCTTCTCACCAGATAACAAACACGTAATAACAGAGAAAAAGACGAGCGAGTTTATCGACAGCAACATACAGACAAGATATCATCAAAAGTATAAGAGAGAGAAAAGGAAACTAGTAACACACAAAGGACATGTAGAAAACAAGCAAAAGCCACTTCATCAATGCAGCCAAGCTCTCGCAAATAAAACACAAAAAGAAACAAGTGCCGAGTTATATGAGAGAGTCAGAAAAAAACAGACAGTGAAAAAAAAAACACGAGATATTTTTGAGGAAAGGAAAAAGCGGCGGCCTATGCGCAGTGTGGCCAAAGTGGTATCCAGAACAACCCGGCCATGAATTAGGAAAAAAAAAGAGGTATATAGGAAAAACAACAAGGACCGAGGGCGGAATCAAAATGAGATGTGTGTATGTAGCCAGGCAGTGAGAGTAGTGCGGCAAAAAATCCAGATGCCTTCTTTTTTTTGAGTTGAAAAACAAAGCAAAAAGAACCCGAGTGTGGCCAACGATGAGAGAGGTATCGACAATATCCCGAGCCGATTACTTTTTCCCCCTGAGATGGTATAAAATAGTTGCGAAAGAGAGAGAGAGAGAGAGAGAGAGAGATCCTGCACAGCCCTTGTATGTATTCCGTCGCGGTTTACCACCCGCCCTTTGTGTATGTTTATCCGTGTTTGTATGTTGCGTTTGTTTGCCTGTCTTCTAAATGAAAAGCGAGAACATTGAAAGCTGGTCCGCATGGGCACTGCCCTCCAGCATTCGTCGAGCTCGACTCATGTAGCTCCGTCGTTACCGTTCTGTTGTTGGCGGTAATCCGTGTATGTTTGTATGTGTTGTGTATGTGCGAGTAATTTGTATGATAAAAAATCCAGCGAAGAAACCCCGTAGCTTACTGTTCCTCGTCTAGGCTTCCCATTGCAGTTCCAGCTTTGTGATGCTTCATGCCAAGCTTAAGCAAGCTGAACCTCTTCCTCACGCTCTTTTTATTCTTTGTCTCAGGCTCATCCATTGACGGTCGGTCCTTGGTTAGTGCATCCAAGCTCACCCTGCCGACTGAGCCGCCTCGCTTCTCTCTATGGGTGTCTTGATGGACACTATCCATGCCCTGAGTTTGGGACAGGTTATGGGGAGCGTGGTCCTTGCTGAGGCCGCGCATGTGTGCCTTATCCCTGCTGAGGCCGCGTGTGTGTGCCTTCGTCTCACCTGTATTGCTGTTGGCCTGATCAGTGGCCTCGCTGCCGTCTAGCTCTTTCTTTCGGCCTCCCAAGAAGCTCAGGCGCGCACCGCGCTGCCGAGGAGTGATTTGTCGAATGACAGTCGCCTCCTCAGCCTTCACTCCGTTCACCGGAACAGCAATACTCGTCCACTGTGGGCCCTTCTCGCCGCCGGGTGTTGACCCTCTCCAAGTAGGGGACGGTGTTGAGACTGGCTGTAGGACTGGCTGCCGGGGCGCGAATAGAGCAATCTCTGGTGCAAAGGTTGCCTCAAAGTCTAACTTGGTGTCAGCTGTCTTATCTTTTGCAACGCAAATCATGCATGTGAAGGGTGTTACTTACAGCCTTGAAGCTCCGAATATCTCCGGGAAATGGCTTCATTCTTGCTCCGGGAAAAGAGGGTCAAGCATCTCTTGAGCATCATAGCATGATCCACCAGAGTCATCTTGATTGCGGTTTCTTGAGGATCAAGCTCAATCTCGTCATCTTCTTCCTCGTCATCGTCCCCATCCGAGCCCTCCTCTCCGCTCGATGGTTCGGGGAGCAGTTTGCGGTATTGCACAACACTGTTCTCAGAGGCTGGGCTGACAGAAATGTTGATAGCTTCAATTAGCTGTTGAGCAACCAAGTCATCGCCGTCAGCTAATCGGCGTTCCAGTAGAGTCATCTCCTGTGTCTTCCTAGAAATGCGTTCCAAGGCGGTCTCCTGGGCGTTGAGCCTGACTTCGCGAGTTTCGAGAATCTCGCTCCGGCGTAGAAGTGTAGGGAAAGGCTCTGCAGTAGTGAAAACTAATTTCTCGGCACAATGCTCCTGTACTGGTCCAGAAGTGTTCCTCTTGGTTGTCACGGAGAAGACTTGAGGATGGGATGACAGTAAAAAGTCCCGGACTATGTGCGGCACCCGAACTCTTTGGTATACTTGATGCGAGAGGTCTCGGTGTGGCGTAAGAGCCGAAACGACCAAGAACTGGCCTTCCATCTCATCAACGTCGCCGCCGGTGATGATCTGGGCCGATGGGTATTGCTCTTGCATGCGGTCTGTAAAGGCCGAAGCGCGTTCAGATGGAGACCCTTCATAGACAAATTCCTTGTCCCGCACAGAAGTAGGAAATCCAAGTCCCTTGAAGGCCACTCTGTAGTACTTTGGCGTAACCTTTTCGCTCTTTGAAATGCTCTCGTATATCGTTGCGATTGCCCTCCCAGTTCTGGCGAGCTTGGCGAAATCGTATACATTGGTTTCGTACTGGACCTGGAGCTCCTTGTACGCAGTCAGGGCGTTGCTCCACGATTCTCCGTCCTCAAAATGCTTAATCATCTCGAAATAGATTCTCTCTTTACGCTCAAATGGAGACTGCGCTGGAAACTGGGGATCGGCCAACGCTGGAACATGCCCAATCGGGTCCCATTCATAGAGATCCGCATGGAGGCGGAGCGCTAGACCAGCCTCTGTGTGGTTCCTAGACTCGGCCTGCAACTTCGCCAGCTGATGGACATAGCGAATGAAGATGTCCTCCTTTTGCATGTCGCGCAGGAACTCCATGAGTCGGAGTCGGTTTATGATGTTGGATGCTTCACCGCTACCATCACCACCACTGTGCACAGCAACGAGTAAATCGAGAAACTCGTCCAAAGTGCCAACAAGCTCACGCACAGCTGCGTAGAGAGGCTCTTCCGCAACCTCTGAAAGGGGCCGGAATCGTTCAAGTAGCTCTGAGATGAATAGCTTTTGGAGGATGCTTTCCGTGAGAGGATTCGATTTGAAGTAAGTGTCCAATGAATCAATGAGTTCTGTCTGAATCACAGATAGGTCTTCACTCAAAGTCCACTCGCTCACAATCATAGTCTGCAGAACCTCAACCGCCATTCTGCGGAGACCTTCATGGACACTCAAACAGAGCTCTACGATAGGGCCAACTAGAGTCGGGACGTATTGTACTTGGTATCCGCCGATATTGCTGAGTCCGTATTTATCATGCTCTTCTGACGTGGTTTCCCAGCCGATAGCCTCCCACATTCTTCGTAAAAGATCAGCTCCGTGTTCCCGCACATCGCCAGCAATCTTCCACACTGCTCTCCTCTTCTGCTCGGGAAACGTCTCCAGAGCAAGCGAGGAGCTTCCCACAAGTTTCAGCAGCGTTGTGAAGAACAGCTTCCAGAGCTCAGTGTTGAATGATTCTGCCTCATCGGGGTCGGGTAGGCAAGATTCAAGAAGAATACCAGCCAGATACTGCAAGATTCTCATCGTCGACTTGTGATGATAAATAAGCACACTTAGCCATCCATTTGGAAACGCCTCGCCGGTCAAAATGCTCATTTGCACTTTGAGTAGGTTCTCCAAAAGGGTCGTCAAGTCGTCCTCAGAAGCCAACTCAAGCTGCATGCCCGAGGGAGAGTTCGCCAGGGCAGAAAGAACCGCGGACAATTCGGCCAGGGATTCGTCAAAGGCCAGCTCTTCAGCTATTGGCTTAGTGGGGAAGGGATATGCTGAAGGAAACAAAAGAGAGAGCTTGTTTCTAGGTTTCTGTGGGGATGCGAGAATGGCCAGATAAGAATCGACAATATTAGGGATATGGTCGGGGATTTCCGGACCCAGATGGTCGATCTGGCTGGCGAGGATAGAACAGCACAGTCGAATCTGCTCTCGCCACTGATCATTAACCTCTTCAGTATGACCCCAGTGAGGAGAGATCCATCGCACAGTGTTGGCACTCAGGGCAGACTTCTGCTCTGGATGAGCAAATATGTCCAGCTTAGAGTAGTTGATGATAAGGCACAGCTTGTAAATGATAAGCTTGCCCTTCACCTCTTTGCACGAGTCCATGAAATCAATAGCAATGTGCAGGATCTCTTCTGTCGTCAAGAGACCCGTCAGCTCTGGCAGCCAAGTGTGGAAATGCTGCACCGCCAACGTCTGACTGCCAACGAGCGCCGGTGCCGAGTTTCGCATCATCGCATCAAGCGCTTTGAAAATGCTTCGAAGGCTCCTAGTGAATCCCTGGGTGGAGGACTTGATCCCTATCCCCGCTTCCTTTACCTTTTGCTGCCCTCGGGATTGAGTGATGAACTTCAAAATGTGTCTCACGACTTTGAAAGTTGCCCGCAACTTGCGAGCTGTCTCGGGTTCCGTGGGGCGTTTGAGCAGCCGAGTGAAAGACCGTATCAGACAAGGGGTAGCAAAGGGATAGTTGAACTGGGTTTCCACATAATTGTCAACCAAGGGACTAAGATTGAATCGCCGATCGTGTACGATTCCAAGTACCCTAACCATAGCCGTAAACACCAAATCTTCATATTCATCATTCCCAGAGTGCTCCACGAGGATTCCAAAGAGCCCATCTAGCACGTCGCTAAGGAGCTTCACGACCTCAATCTCTGAGACAAAGATGATTTGTCTCAGAATAGCGGGGATTTCGTCCTTTGGCAACTCTTTCCATTTGAGAAGCCCGAGGATAACTCTGTCCTGAGAGAACTTTGTGCTGCAGAGGTAGGTATCAACCAGCATCACGGCAAGCGGCCCAGTGACCTCGACTGACCCATCCTTACCTCGTGGTGCCCAGGGGGTGGAGAGATATCCGCCTTTGCCCGAGGGGCCTGCCTGCGCGGTGGAGGTGAACTCGTCTATTTTATAGAGCAAGAGTCCATGGGGCCCGTCGCGAATAAAGGCTTGGCCCTCCCACAGAGGCATATGAGCAACAGCAAATGGCGGGTTGGGCATGTCCGACAAGAACATGACCACGTGAGCGTTCATCACGTCGCTTGGTTGTAGCGACAAGCGGAGCGTCTGGTTCCAAGCCTCGCCCCTTTCCACAGCACAAGATTTGAACGTGGTTAGAGCCTCGGTATTGGAAGATGTAAAGATGCATCTCTCAAATCGTTCACCGGAGGACTGGCGGATCTCTAGCGTAAGTTGCAAATTCGCTCCGCTGACTGTGCTGGGTAGGTTAATTGCGCTGCCCGCGAATCTTGAAATGAGATGTTGCTTTGCCAAGGCGGCAATGTTGAGCGTCAGATATATATCCGATCTTGACTTGGTTGGTGCGGCAGCAAACCCGATTCTACTCGTCTTTGATACACCCGACAAGATGGTGGGCGTGGCCTTGATCAGCCCATCTGCATCCGGATGATGGAATTTCCTAAGCGAAACTTGTAGTCGCTCGCCGCTCCTCGATTTTTCATATTGACCGGAAGTACTAGTAATCAGCTCCCGAATCAAGGGATCGAACTCTTCGGCAGCGTCCCTATCAGTCTGAGAATATCCAAGCGACGGCGACCAGATGTTGACAACCTGCTCGACCTCTTCTGTCTGCTTCATGATGGAGTTGAGCTTCAAAACTCCAACGCCGATGGTACGCTCAACAATCTGTCCTGTTTCATGAAGACTTGCCGCCGAAGTACTCTTCGATCCGGCAGTGCTTGGCGGATGGCTGCTTCCGTCTTGGCTGTCCAAGCGAGTTGTAGAAGGTCTTCCCTCCTGCGACTCGGAAACGGAATCCATTTTGGCCACTGCGTTGCCTCGAGAAAAGGCGGTTCGTCCACTTTTGCTCCCCCACATCATGCTTCTCCTAGAAGCCTTTCCCGAGCTTGCTGGCGGAGTTTTCACGTTTTCTCTCGTAAAGCTGCTGTCGGTGCCGGACCGAGACAAAGGTTGGGGGATAAAGATGTGCTGTGATCCCAACACCTTGACAACAAGGTACAGCTCGGAGTCGGCAGACGGCGCATCTCCAATGTCATGGGCAGAGAGATCTGTAAACAGAGTCTTGGTGCTGGCGTTTTGAGCGAGACCGCTGATGGAGCCGCCCGCGGGGATCTCAATGCTGAAACACTCAGAGAGGTTGGATCCCTTTGCATATTGCGGTTTGCTGACAAGGTAGGCCACAATTATTGTCTCCTCGGTGGAGCTTCCAGCAAAGCCCTTGACGTCTAGCAAGATGTGGTTTAAACTCGCCAGCTCGACCGTGGTTTGGGGAGGCTCATCCAGTAAGCTCATAACCGATTGGAGCTTGGTGACGTCGACAACAGAGTCATCCGCCGTCAGAACTCTGCCGCGCGCTGCTGGATCTCGCACAACCACCTCACCACCACATAGTTTGTTGACCGTGACGAGATCCCAGACCGTCTTCTCCCGCAGTCGCTCGTATTCGTGCGCTGTGAGAACATTGTAGAGAAACTGCTGGCGGTGGAGGTTCAAAGAGTTGACGAGTTGTGATAGTTTTTCGAGCTTTGCATACTGACGAGAGAGAAGCAGCTCATGCAGATATTTGGAGTGCCACTCTCGCAAGCACGACGCGATTTCGTCAACTAGTGGTTCATCTACCGAGGTCGGCGTCTCGTCACCAATCTTGAGCATCGGAACAGGTGCTGGGGGTCGAGGCACATTGGGATCTCTGCGAACCGGGACTGAGAGGTTCTTGACCGCGTCGCCCGTGAGATCTCGCAAAGTCTTCTTCCACTGGCTCGAATCCATCGTCGTCCTGTCCTGACCTTTTGACTCTATGCCACTTTTGGCTGAATCGCTACCCGGGCGGTCGTCGATGCCGCTGTCGCTCGCAAAATCTTCATCGTGTCTTTCGTCCGTTTCGCCAAGCAGCTCTCGAACCTCTACACAGCTTCTCGGAAAGATGCCACTGAAGACGCGAGCTTCCAACGTCTGTCCCTTGACCGATGTCAGACCAGCCAGCAGACTGGGGGGCGCCACGAGGTAGCCGCGCAGCCAGTTGCCGTCTGGCGTCTCTTCGATTATATAGAGCTCATCGCCAATTTCGAGCGGGAGGTCGGCCGGGCTCGCGGCTGTGAAAGGGTAGGTCGCGACGGCGAAGGCGATCCGGGGGAGAGGCTGCCAGGGCATTGAAGCTCAGGATGTCGGCCTCTGGCGAGAAAAGTGTTCGATTGGGCCAGGCAGAAGCGACTATTATCTCGTCGTAGGCAGCGGCTTGCTGATTGGCAAGGCTTGACGAAGTAATGCGCTGATGGATGGAAGTTGCGAACGCATCAAGCTCCAACCTCGAACGCGGTGGTGCAGATATATCGTGACGCCTGGGCTGTTGTTTCTTAGTCGCTGACAAGGTTCTCTGACTAGCGGCGCGAACTCGAGCAGAAGAAGAGAATTCAAAAGCCGATAGAGTTTTTTTTTCCTGCAAGACTTACGTTACGATGTGTGAAGATCGTTTGCAAAACGCCGGTTGGCTGACGGCTGGCCGTTCGAGAACCAGAACCCCTGAGCAAACACGACCAAATTATGCACACCGGCGGGAAGAGATAGCGATCCGATAGCGCAATTAAAGCATCCGCCCAAAGCTGATCAACATGCCAAGTTGTATATTTGCAATGCCAAGATGCACGGTGCTTCCCAAGGCTCGCCCGAAAACAGAAACTGTGACACAAAAGTCTCAAACAAGAAAGAAAAAAATTAGCATATATGACAGACGCAGCGAGGGGAAATTTCTGGCCCGCGATATCGTGACGGGTCTCTGAACTCAGCAGCATCAAGTCTCCCGTCTCCTCAACGAGTACCAACCGTCGGGCGTTTTAGTGCTGCAAGCCCCGCTACACTGCGCTAGGAATCAGCGGTGGACTCCCTGTACGGGGGAAGCCTGTACGGGGGTCGTGGCCAGTGGAGAGTGAGTCGAAGCCTCTAAAGGCCGCCGACAGGGGTTTGGTGCCAGGGGACGGTTTTGTACCTGCTTCATCCACCCGGGCAGGACGGGACGCGCATGTACATGTAACCACTCACCACGATCAAGGCACTGCTGCAGCCCACGCTTGAACGAACCGCTTGTCGCCTCCTGTCCCAAAGCGGTGCAATGAGGTGGCCTGTGCGATGAGTCGGACCAAATAGGCAGTGCCCTGTATTTTTAGGCAAAGTCACTGTCTCGCCATGACACGCCGGCGCTGCACAATGCAGGAGGCGACGTCGCAACGGCATCAATTGGGCTCAATCTCTCTCTCTCGCTCTCGATGGATCCATGGATGTATATCAGGTACCTTGTTTGATTATTTCAGTTTGCTTCTGCCATATGCTGTAACATGCCTACGAGTACATGTCTACCAGGTAATACTGCTTACGCCTCAAAGGCAATAAATCTGAACAGCTTCACAAGGCTACTAAGGTACCTAGTAAACAATCAGGTACAAGCCATCATGGAGCTTTGACGCCCGCCACACGTGGTTGTTAGTGCCCGTCCATATCATGCCCATCTGCCAACTTCAACTGTTCCATCTCATCCATCAGGCCAATCTCCTGGGCGTTTGGGGGTTTCATCTCCATCGAGCCACCTTGCCGGGAATTCGAGTCTCCCCCTCTGTACGAGTACCCGTACCCGTAATGCTTCCAGTACTCGAGGCCACTCCGTGCTTCGTAGATCTCTTGATCTGTTACCCCTGACCCATGTTGGCAATCAAACCCGTCGCTTATCGATTATGTACCTACAATGCGCCATTACGGAGTAGAGGTACTACCTACATACAGTACCAAGTACGTGTAATTGATCGAGCCGGGTGTGCTCAGACCGTCTGCTGAGAAATGTTTCTTGTTTCATATTTGGTAGCCATGCTACCCGAGACTCTAACAATAGCAATGCCGTGGTAGACGAGCCCAAGTTTGTGAACGCATTAGACATGAATTTCCAGTCACAAGAGGCGTCGTTGATACCTTGAGGTTGTTTACATAGAATAGCCAGGTGAAAATGAATTGTCGAAGAGATCTGGTAGGGTCCCTTATTACATCGATTCAAGCATGTTGCTCTGCCATGCTGTCTTCCAACCGAGCCTCGGGCTACACAAAAGGTGGGCAGTCAACACCATCGTCTATGACTGTGTTTTCGGGTGGACAGTCTCGAGTTCCCAAATGTCTAGTGCTTACAGAAGCAGAGAGAGTTTGATGCCGAATCCAATCCAGAAAATATCGAGCATCAAGAACATAGATGCCGTGTACTGTCACATTCTGTACGGAGTCACACCCACATTTCGAGCTACCCGCATCAATTCTTCTGACTGTATAAACTCTATTGAAGAAGTGCTGCCACATCAATCAATTCCTATTTCAAAAGATATATGAAATAAAGGTGACTTTTGAGCTCTTATAGCTTCAATGACTTTATCAGGTCAATAGGATTGATAGAACTATTATATGAAAAGGTATCTGGCATGTTAGAATGGAAAGGTGCATTATCTCAATGCAGCTAGCTCACGCCCTGTGCAACAGCGGCAATGCGCCCTATTCAAAACCTACCTAGGTACTAACCTTGATGTCCAGACATCCATCTTTATATGGGATGCATGTTTGATCTTCGGCTTGCGGTGTGACTCAAAACAATACAAAGGCCACGTGCATTGCGCACGCCATGAATGACCAAAAGTTTCCTCTATATAGACCCGCAACTTCATAAAGTCTTGGCCACTTGAATTTCCTCTCTGTCATTTTTCTCTTCTCCATTCAAAGACGGTGGTGTCACCAACTGCAAAACCTACCTAACACAATAAACGCCCATACCGCATATATGGTCTTCACCCCACCAAACAAGAACATCATCAAACCGCTGCTCATCATCCACGGGAAAGGAAGCAATCATGGGAACCCCTTTCGTCAGCCTTCTCGAGCCTAGTAAGCTCGATGGCTTCCAGCTCGGCGTTCCTCGAGACACGCTTCCCTCCACAATCCCTCGAACGTTCCTCGATGCCATGGAGGTTCGCGAGGAAGTCTTCGTCAAGGAACAAGGCGTTCCCCAGGAAAACGAGTTCGATGTCGATGATGCACGATCTTGCCACTGGGTCATTTACGTCAGCGTCAACAAGACAGAGGTGCCCGAGATTCGAAATGAGGAAGGAAACGTCGTGCGGCCACGCAAGAGTTCTACTCGAAGCACTCCCGTGGGAACTGTTCGCATGGTTCCCTTCCCGCATGAGCCTCATCCAAAGCCCGGCGGAGAGTACTGGAACGGAGTGTTGAAAGGTGAAGAAGACGATGCCAGCAACCACGATGGCCCGTCATCCCGGCCGTTTGTTCAAGACCGGCCGACGACATTCCACGACGGCAAGGAACCGTACATCAAGCTTGGAAGATTGGCAGTCGTAAAGGACTATCGAGGCTACCGCTTTGCAGGTCAGCTTGTCAAGAGTGCACTCGACTGGATCAAGGCCAACCCGTCCTTCTTTGACCCCAGCATCAGAGAGCTGGGACTTGAGCAGTTGGGAGCGTCGACAGAGGCCCAGGCGCCGCAATGGGGAGGTCTCGTTTGCGTCCACGCACAGGAGCAGGTCGCCAAGGCCTGGGCGAAATGGGGATTTGAAATTGACGAGGGCATGGGGAAATGGTATGAGGAAGGCATTCCTCACGTTGGAATGTTTCTGCGTCTAGACATTGGCCAAAAGGATATCCAGATCTGAGCGCCACGGTCAACAACCGAATGATGGCGAGAATCAGGTAGAATCGCAGATGATCTTCATCGAGGACATCACGTATTATGGCATTGGGACAGAGAGTACAGTTTTAAGATTAAAAGAAGCCTGGCACTTAACGAAGTAATAACTTTTTTTTTCCTTATTTGATGCCCCATGTTGCACTTTTGTTTTGGTCTCTCTCTTATAATCACAGATAAGAAAAATATGGTAAATTAGAGACACAAAAGGCATGATTCATAACAGCCCCTTTTTGAGCCCAGCTTTTTATTCAGACTCAAGGAGCCATCTTAGATAAATCCATGTCCGCGTTCCCAGACCCGAACGCAAAATGCAATTCTGAAAAATGCCTGATCCACGCCAAAAGCCACACTCCATCCAGCCAGGTAACCCACCGCACAACCTTTATCGGTTGGACTTGGCGACACGCTCCAGCTCGTCCTTCTTCTTGATAGCGTATGAGTTGCTGCTGCCCTTGGCGGCGTTGATCAGCTCCTCAGCCAAGCACTCAGCAATGGACTTGACGTTGCGGAAAGCAGCCTCGCGGGCACCGGTGGTGAGCAGGGCAATGGCCTGGTTGACTCTCCTCAGGGGGGAGACATCGACGGCCTGACGACGGACGGTACCGGCAGAGCCAATTCGGGTAGAGTCTTCACGGGGACCGCAGTTGACAATGGCGTCAACGGCAACCTGAATGGGGTTCTGGTCGGTCATGAGGTGAATCTGAAGCGAGGACTGGGTGTTAGCAAGAATTTTGAATAGTCTTTTGTCTGCCTTTTGCAAAGACGTATTCCTTCCCCCCCTCTCTCTCAGGCTCTCTCTCAGGGTCGCGTCAAAATACGTACGATCTCGAAGGCGTGAGCGACGATGCGAACAGCCATCAGCTTCTTGCCGTTGTTGCGGCCGTGCATCATGAGCGAGTTAGTCAACCGCTCAATGATAGGGCAGTTGGCCTTGCGGAATCGCTTGACGGCATATCGGCCAGCGGAGTGGGTGACGTAGACGGGGTTTCGCAGGGAAACATAGTCGCTATTCGATCAATCCATCAGCACAAAAGAACTTCCTCCAATGGTTCGGCGAAAAAAATTCAAATCTTCTCCCCAATCTCGCGATTTCGAACGTACGTCAGAGAGATGTCGCGGACCTCGACATCGTAGTCCCACTTGTTGAACAGCTTGACGTTGCCGACCTCCTTGACAATATCCTTGGGGAGGGCGTCGGTAACGACGGAGTTCTCGATCTCGATTTCACCACCGTCAGACATCTTGGCTATTTGCAGTCGAAAATTCCGGTGCTGGGGCGGGACTGCGGTTAGTATTGCGGATTGTCGAGATGTGATTTTTCAAGAGGTTAAAGGTGGGCTTGGTCGGCGTGGAAGGGAAATTTTGGTGGTGTGTGCATCGGGCGAATCAGATGGCGCGAAAAGTTAGGTACGTACCCTGCACCCACGTTCGGTTAGGGCTCGGCTGCCCTGGTGAATTCGGAAGTGGGCAAACCGTTGAAGCGGGAGGGCTACTCTAAGTCGTCGCCAAAAATTCCAATTCCTCCACCACTCCTCCGTCGACAAGCCAAGCACATCACAGACAAAATGGTATGCCACCATCACCGCCGCCGCCGACCATTACGAAAATGGGCGTCGCTATGCAGATGCTGATCTTTTAAAAATTCACAGGCGCCCGCAGCTGGAGCAAAGAAGCAAAAGAAGAAGTGGTCCAAGGGCAAGGTCAAGGACAAGGCCCAGCACGCCGTCCTGCTCGACAAGACCATCTCCGAGAAGCTGTACAAGGATGTCCAGTCCTACCGCCTCGTCACCGTTGCCGTCCTGGTCGACCGAATGAAGATCAACGGCTCCCTCGCCCGCCAGTGCATCCGCGACCTCGAGGAGAAGGGCATGATTAAGCCGGTCGTCACTCATAGCAAGATGAAGATCTACAGTACGACTCACCAACAGTTCCCCCCCTTTGTGCGCGCCTTGGAAGATGACAAGAGACACTGACAATTGCGCAGCCCGTGCCATCGGCGAGTAAATTTACCACCATGTTTGAAAGTTAAAGCATTGAGATTTATGGCGCCTGGTTGGTCTGAAAGGAAGAAAATGGGCCATGAGTGAAGAGGATGATACGAGGTATATAAAAAGCCTTAGTTGGGACGCTTTTCATGCTCGGTGTAGCATTTCATGGGAACCGGAAACGCTTTAGCAAATGGCAACGGAATGAAGAACTTCAAAAAATGACCAAAACGACGCGAATACCCTCTTGACCTTTGTGTGACGCACATGTCCGTGCTGCGAATAATTGTGATGAGCTTATGAGATGGATTCATGCTTCGTTGTTGCAATATTGGCAGGCTTGTGTTGCCTTTCTTTTTAATCTATCACATGCGTAATCGCGATGTCAATGTTGCCCCATGGCATGCAGCAAGGTACGCTATCGGGTCGACTGGTACTGCATTTATATCAACCCGTTGACATCAATTCTGAATGTGCGGCCTATCCACTCTAGCCCCTAGGTAGCTTTCTGTCATTTGTCTTACTACCGAGGTATTCCCTATTAATGCCCGTACAGAGAGGGCCGTGTTTGCTGATTATTACTCCCAATGGATGTTGTAAAGGAAACCCTCCCCGTGAGAAGATTTCGGTAGCATAGGATTGACCAATATACTCCGTACTTATAGATATTTTGGTATTCTTGCCAAATCCTTCAGAATCTGTGAATATCCCAGAGTGGCGTTGGACAGTGGTCCAATCAGATCAAACCAGATTGTGATAATGCCCAGCAGGTTATCAGCCACGGCCCTTAGCCCTTCTCCGCCCTCCTTTTCTTAGGTATCAAGGCATCAATATTTGCCTTCCGATGTTTGGTGAGATGCAACCAGTACTAGGTCGGGACTGTGCTGCTGGCGGGTATCGTACAAGTGAACCGGGGAACAGCCATATTATGTACTACGATGTGTTTTCTGTCTCAACGATGACTACAAGTTGGGCCGGGGTTTTGCAAGTCAAGTCCCCTACCAATCAAGGCTTGTGAGTGAGTGAGGACATTTTGCGTGAGGCAGCACTGCTATCAAGGTCCACAACCTGAGGCAGAATAATGCCAAGTCACTCGGGGAAGAGGGTACTTGGAATACGCGGCTCCGTCTGCTGGAGAACGAATGTGGAATGCAAGCACGAGTCTCATGAACGAAGCAGGGGAGACATGCGGCTGTGTTTCTTTTTCTTTTTCTTTTTCCATTTCCGTTTCCATTTCCTTTTCCCTTTTTTTTCTTTTTTTTTTTCCCTCTTAGGGCGACAGGTACAGCACAGCCTTTACCCCTAACAGCGATAGACCCGATTAGAGTTTTTAGGAGAGATTTCTTCGCCCGTGCTCCTGATACGAGTCTTGAGGCAAATACTGGCCCGGCTCTGAACCAAGACCGACAGTGTCCACCTGTAACATGTAAGGCTGGAGACCTCGGCCTCCCTTGCACCGGTGGAGCCGGAGTAGGCGGGATGGCTTCTCACGGCCGGTCAGATCGGCGGCAACGGTGTGGCAATGCCTGAGAGATGGACAATGGCGACTTCGGGATGGTTGCACTACCTCCTTATCGTTTGCATTACCACGGAAGCCGGGGTGTCCGCTAAGCCTCAAGCTGTTCTCGCTCCAACAAGTGTTTGGGATTTTGGAGTCATGACGGTAAGGGGCTGACCTCAAGTCCCGTGAACTAGACACTGGTGCCATATGATGGCTGCAAGGCCCAAGACGACGCGGCTAAATGGAGCTATATTTGTCGTTCTCTCAGCTTGCCAGCTGGACTTGCATGTTACGGAGCACTCTTGACTGATAGGGCCTCCATACCAATCTTCCATGCACAAATCCGGGGGGCCATGGCTGAAGCGGTGACGAGCCTGTGTGGACATGAAGCAGCGCAAAGTGCGTGTGCAGCATTCTTCTATACGGAGTACTTTGGTCTCTGGGTGTCTCGGAGACGCCAGGAATAGGCAGGTTGGGAATTTCGCACTGGCGGGTGGCCTCGGCGGGAGCAAGATCGGGGCGGACCGGGTGCAAGTTGTTGTTTGCACCCAGGGTGACATCAAGGCGCTGGTGGCCGTGGGTGGTACAGCACAGTGCAGCCCAAACAAAAAGTGCGAGGCAAAAAAAAAAAAAATCGAAAAAAAAAAAAAACTGGCGCAGCATCTCCTGGCGCCTGAAGGTCGCTGCTCCGGGCGCCTTTAGGCCGCTGGCACGGCCCTTAAAAGGCGCTCTGCCTGAGGCTGCCACGCGCTGTAGCGCTCCAGTCTGTTGCGTTGCCGTGGAAGGCAAAGAGCGCGGCCCAAGCCTGCAGCGCTAGTGCGGCCGGAAAGAGTCGCTCTGAAAAAGTGTCCCCTTCGAGACCCGCCGCAATTTTTTTTTCCCTCCCCCCCCAAAGCCATTGCCCGTCGGTGCAGAATTTATTTCGCTCGACTCCCCCCGTTGTCCTCCTCTTCCTCCTTTCATCTCCATCTCCCCTCAATCCTTTCTTTTTTTTCCGGGAAAGCGTTTGCACATCGGTCAAAATGTCTGAGAAGCCTCAAAAGGTCCTGGGCATGCCGGTAAGTTGAATCTGCCTGCCTTATCTTGCCTGCCTCCTCCCCCTCCATCGGGCACGCCACGGGAGAATTTCCGAAACGACTCCGAGAGATATTTTGCCGGCATCATCAATTGAATTGTCTAGATGACATTGAGATGCTGTGTAATGATGTCTGCTTGGGCCTCGCTTTCAGTCGTGAAGAATCTCTCTTGTGTGCCTGGATGAAAAAATTTTCTGCACCGCGTTCGCACATGTGAAACCTGACCGCTAACAATGTTTCTTCCAGCCCTTCTTGGCGGACTTCCTCAGTAAGTCACTACTATTCGATGCTTATGCGGAATAAGCATCATCCATAGATGGCGGCTCGCGTCCAGCATCAAGTACTCGAACTAACAGACTGTCATAGTGGGTGGTGTCTCCGCCGCTGTCTCCAAGACTGCTGCCGCCCCCATTGAGCGTGTCAAGCTCCTCATCCAGAACCAGGTTTGTCTCTCCCCTTGGGACGTATCAACTGTGAAATCACGTCTCTAATTAGGACAACAGGATGAGATGATCAAGAACGGCCGTCTCGACCGCCGCTACGCCGGCATTGGTGACTGCTTCCGCCGTACCGCCGCCGACGAGGGTGTCATGTCCCTGTGGCGTGGTAACACTGCCAACGTTATCCGATACTTCCCTACCCAGGCCCTGAACTTTGCTTTCCGTGACAAGTTCAAGAAGATGTTCGGTTTCAAGAAGGAGCGTGATGGCTACGGCATGTGGATGCTTGGTAACCTGGCCTCCGGTGGTGTAAGTTTTTTCTTCTTCTTTACCTTGCGGTAATAACCCCTCACCTTCACATGCTTGATACTGATACTCTACAAGGCTGCTGGTGCCACTTCTATGCTTTTCGTCTACTCCCTTGATTATGCCCGTACCCGTCTTGCCAACGATGCCAAGTCCGCCAAGAAGGGCGGTGAGCGCCAGTTTAACGGTCTTGTTGACGTCTACCGCAAGACCCTCGCCTCTGACGGTATTGCCGGTCTGTACCGTGGTTTCATGCCCTCCGTCGCTGGTATCATCGTCTACCGTGGTCTCTACTTCGGCATGTACGACTCCATCAAGCCTGTTCTCCTGGTCGGTAACCTCGCCAACAACTTCCTTGCCTCTTTCGCTCTCGGTTGGTGCGTCACCACCGGTGCCGGTATCGCTGCCTACCCTCTTGACACTATCCGACGACGAATGATGATGACTTCTGGTGAGGCCGTCAAGTACAAGAACTCCTTCGATGCCGCCCGCCAGATCGTTGCCAAGAACGGTGTCAAGTCTCTCTTCAACGGTGCTGGTGCCAACATTCTCCGTGGTGTTGCCGGTGCTGGTGTCCTGTCCATCTACGATCAGCTCCAGATCCTTCTCTTCGGAAAGGCCTTCTCCGGCGGCTCTGGTTAAATTGCTTTTTCTACGTTCTGTATAGACATTCTCCGGGCGTCTTAACGCGGAGATGGGGTTAATTGGCCAGGTGGGTGTAATGCGGCGTCCACTGGTTGATCAAAAAGGAGACCGGTATGGAAGGTATTGAGGGAAGTTGGGCCAGATATCCCGACCTGTGTAACAGTTGCTATTTGCGGGTTAGACTGGCATGGGCACGGCGTATTAGTCGTTTTGGCTCTTGCCGTGCTTTCTAGGTCGCTGTAATTATACACCAATGCAAGTTCCCTTGATTTAGAGATTTAAACAACAACGCTCTGATTTTGATGATCCAAGTGCAACCCGTGTCGTGCCTCAAAAGTGCAATTTTTTCGTCTTCGCGCATGTTCTCAGCCTCGCGCTCGTTGTGCGTGTGCGTTGCTGACTAAGGCAGCGTATCGCGCTTGCGATTGGGAAGGCAGCAAGCCCAGAGCTCCAAGTTGCCTTCATGTACTTCCTACCTATCACCGTGAACATTGCAACACGGCGCGCTGTTTACTCCAGTCACTGCTGTCCAAGCATCACCATTGTCTAGCTGCATATACGGTCGCTGGGGAGCAATCGAGCTGATCACAAAGTGCTTCCAATGCCACCTAAACAATCTTCCACCGGAGCTGGACGCGGCCGGCCAGCCAAGGCAAACAAAGCTCAACCGCCTGCTCGCAATGCCTCGGAGTCTAGTAACCCGTTCGAGTCCTCAGATGACCAGGCCCCAGAGGCAAACCAAGCAATAAACATAGAGGAAGAGCAAACAGAGCCAGAAAAGTCAATTCCTAAAGCGCTGCTGACCCGGCTTCTGCACGAATTCTTCACCAAGGAGGCTACGAGGATGTCGAGAGACGCCAACACGGCGGTGAGCAAGTACGTTGATATCTTCGTTCGAGAGGCGATCGTAAGAACAGCTGTCGAGAAGCCAGGCGGGTTCCTAGAGGTAAGATGATTGGTAGCATGACATTCGTGTTGTCTTTTCTCGAGTTTGTCCAGATGATGTTAACGGTTCCTCGTAAAGGTCGAAGACCTAGAAAAAGTCACGCCTCAACTGCTGTTGGATCTTTAGGGGCCACAGGGCTTTAATATGTCACGTCCAGCTGCCGCTACTACTTGGATCTGGTCTGCGAGGGACTAGCCATCTGCTACAACATCGTCCGGTTGATCTGGTTGGGAGATGATGCGCGTCCTGGACCCCCTGCTTTCGGCCATCCCATGAGCTACAGTATTGAAAGCCTCACGGGTGTGTAGACTGGCCATTGTCTCCTCACAGTGACACAAATCTCAACCGAACAATGTCTCCGCAACAGTTTCACATTGCACGGAAGGTCAAAACGACGCCGGCCGGATGCCTCCAGTTCCTCTCGAGAACCACGCGAGAGACGGCGTGCATGAAACGCATTGTTTCCGATGCGATGCTAGATTCAAAATGCAAAAATCGTCCGTGACCACGGCGGGACAAAGATGAGCGTTTATTGGTCATATTTTTACTGCTGTACCTGGCCGAGAGTATCGGCGATTTATTTCGAGAGCTGCTCCCCATCTTCTACTTGATGGCCATTGAGAAAAACTCATCGCCAGCTACAAGTCTAATCAATCCGTCTCTGACACTGGTTCTCTTCCCTACACATACAAGTGCAAGCGACGAAATAGCGTCATTTCAATCTACTGGGCCTTTATCTTTTGCATTGTTCATCTTGGTGCTGATAAATTTCACGGCGACGTTCCGACTCGAAGCGAGAAAACAATTGCCGCCTTTGGCCTTGGCTCGTTTCTAAGACGGCGGATCATGACTTGTCCGTTATTGCGGCCCAGGGCGTGCGCATGGCTGTCGGTTACTAGAGCGTTTCACTAACGTATTAATAGTCCGGCATTGTGCAAATATACGACAGGGGGGGCTTGTGGCGTCTACATACGACTCTGCGTCTACCCAATTGACGATGGCACTTTGACGCCATTAGAGTCTTCACGTTATCAAAAAAAGAATTTCCTGGACGCAATTGGAAACACCAAGCCCATCAGGACTAAATTTGCGTCGAGGCCATGCGGTCACTGCGTTTGCCTGCGCTGAAACCGACCGCGTCTCGCATGTGTCGGAGACGCTCGACTTGAAGCAGCTTCGACATCAGACCCCGGCCCCGGCCCCTCAAAATTAGGTGTGGCGCGGCCTGCCTGCAACAATGCAATTCCGGCTTCAGCATCGCCCGGCGCCCATGACGGTTAGTCAGTGTGAGAAGACAGGTCCCGTCCAGGCACCGTCCAGGCACCGGGGTCCAAATGTTTCTCGAGCATGGCAAGGAGAACTGCTGTCCGTGCTAGCGGCAGGCCCCAAGCAAGGTTAGCAGCTTGACTTGGTCTGTCAGGACCCTTGCCATTGGGGAGAGATGCGTGGTCTACAGCATCTGGGGCACCGCGTTTCGAAGACCCCGATTGAGCTGAGTCTACGGATACCATGCTTCTGGACCTGGGCGAGTCGAGACCAGCGTCTATGGCCAAACCAGTCTCATACACGCTATGAGCGGCCTCAACTCGAGCTACGCCCCGTTGTTTGAGGAAATGTGATAGGCGCCTCCTAGACGACTGCGTTCCCCGTAAACGAACCCCCCCTCGAGCAAGGTGCAAGGACGCTAGTGCGGACGTTGAGAGCGACGTGAATGGAGATTAAAAGCCATCGTGTTTCCGTTGTTTCTTCAACTTCTTGTCAACCATCGTTCTACTGTTTGTCCGTGGGGTTTCTTTTGTATCCTTACTTTTCTTCTCTTCTCTTCTATCCATTTACTTTTACATTCCAAAGGCTAGTCCTTTGCTGGTCCTATCGCTTTCATTCACATTCTCTTACCTATTCAAGAATTAATCTTGCTTCTTTTTTCTCTCTCTTTCTCTCTTTTCAAGGTTTTATTTTGGGAAGTCTGGTACTCTCTCTCTTTAGGCCGGCCTATTCTTCAGAAAAAAAAAACCAAAACACAAAAACCTTTATTCAAGATGCAATTCACTACCCTCCTCGTTGCGGCCTTTGCTGCCATTGCTCAAGGTACGTCGACTTTACTCCGGGTTTTGCCATTGTGTAAGCCAATGTGTTAACGCATTGTCATTCTAGCCGTCGATGTCCAGGTCGTCTCAGTTGGCCAGAACCCCATGGCCGGCATGGCCGGTCAGCCCGCTCTCAAGTACTACCCCGACAACATCAAGGCTGCTGCCGGAACCATGGTTCAGTTCCAGTTCTGGGCTGGCAACCACACTGTCACCCAGTCTGACTTTGACCACCCCTGCACTCCCATCTCCCAGGTCAACAGCTCCGTCGCTGGTATCTGGTCAAGCTTCATGCCAGTTGCTGCTGGTGCCGACAAGAAGGAGATCCCCGTCTTCACCGTCATGATCAACGACACCAAGCCCATCTGGATTTTCTGCAGCCAGGGCAAGCACTGCTCCGCCGGAATGTCAATGGTTATCAACGAGAAGTGAGTGTCCAATACACCGATGACAATAAATCAAGAGCCATTCTGACATTGTTCAACTTGCAGCACCTCTGCCAACTCCACCCGTTCTCTCACCAACTATAGAACCGCTGCTTCCACTGCTCAGAGTGGCTCTGGTTCCGGCTCTGGTGCCCCTGCCGGCTCTCCTCCCAGCTACGGTAGCCCCAGCCCCAGCCCCAGCACTGGCTCTGGATCAGGTAGCGATGCCAGCGCTCCTCCTGCTCCTGCTCCTACCTATGCCGCTCCCCCTGCCGCTCCCCCTGCCGACTCTCCTCCCGCGTCTGCTCCTACCGATGTCCTTGCTCCTCCCCCTTCCGTCACAACCGGCGCCTCTTCACCCTCTGGCACTGGTGTTCTTCCCGGTGGCGCCACAGACACCGGCATCCCCAAGAACGCTGCCTCATCTGTCGGCGTTTCTACCAGCCTGCTGCTGGTTCTGGGTGCTGCCTTTGCTTTGCTATAAACGGAGTGACGTGACGACATGACGCGGTGTTGATCGGTTAAAAAAAGGGACGACGATCTGTAATATCATACTTGGGGGTTTTTTATATTCATATATGCATCTTCCTTGCAAGCAAGGGTTTTTCTATTTTTTTTTTTCTGAAGTGGGATGGAAGTAATCTGTTCCCTTGGGTTTTTATGAAAGGGGAAAGGACAGCAAGAGTCCTGGGTTAGAGCACATGCTAGGGACCATGTGTGTAAATGTATCTGGATCTGGATACCTTATTTAAATGAAGGAGTTGTTTTCTAATCATAATTTGTTCTTTTGATGCCTTGTGACGTGTGATGAAATTGCGCTTGATTTTGCTAAAGAGACTGCACTAACAATTGCCTTGTTGTTGTTGTAGGCATCTAAACGTAGGTAGACGAGGATGAATCTTTTGGAGTCATTTATCATATGCATGCATGCTGTTTCCTCTCCCTCTTCCCCCCCCTTCTTTCTCTTTCTCTTGTATACAGCTTACTTCTCTTCCTTGGAATGCCTTGGCTTTCTCTTGGACCTGCCCTGCTGAGCCGGCGCACAAAGCTCTCTCCTGGGCTGCTTCTCCAGCCAATTCTTGTCCCGCTTCACGTAGCCCACCTTGTGGTACTTTTTGCTGTTTCCGAAAAAGTTGATCCAGTGCTTCAGCGCGTCATGCACCTGACGCTGCGCCCTGATGAGCTCCATCTCCTTCATCTCCTTCATCTCGGCCGTGGTCCACTGGGCGTCCGTCTCGGGATCGTCCAGCGGCAGGAACATGTCCTCCACGCCGCGCATGTCGGGCGTGCGATCGTCGGCAAAGCACCCCGTGACAAAGGCCCGGGCGGCATCGCAGCCTGCGAAGTAGTTATAGGAGCCTCCGGGGCCGTAGATGTGGCGCCCGAGGGAGACGTCGAAGATGGTGCCGTTGATGGCGATGTAGACGGGCTTGGAGGGGTCTTTGCCGTCGTAGGCGGCGAGCTGCTCGGGGGTCAGGTAGATGGGACCTTGCTGTCAGATTGGTTAGCAATTCATTCCATCCTTTTTTTTTGGCGGCTTCTTTGCCTGAGAGGACGAAACGAACCCATTGTGCTTTCCACCAGTCTACCCTCAGGTAGTTGGGCTTGTTCTTCATGCCCCAGAAAAAGCTCTCGCCATTGCTGATCCAGTAGCTAAGCGCACACGAGGCCACGAACAGGAAGCTGATGACGCGGAAGACGTCTAGCCACGGAGAGTAGGCATCTTCATCGTCGACCTTGGACTTGCTCTGCTTTTTCTTTGCTGGTTTGGTGGCTTCTCCAGCGTCCGGCTGCTTCCGCTGGCGCAGTTCCGAATCCGCCATGGCTGCTGAGCTGCGGTTCTCGTTGATGAAGCTCTTTTATAGCAGCGACTGGATTTTGGAGATGTAGATTGACAAGGTCGAGTTCGAGTTCAAATCGTGGCCATAAGCTTACTCGTACTCGTATGTACAGCTGCATACCCGCATCGGGACATACAAGCTCCCCGCTGCTGATTCCCGGATGGCCTGATTGGCTCTGCTGCAGACACGCCAGGGTTGTAGCTGCGGTTCTTCAAATGTTAGACATTCAATGGCAGATGCAAGTCATAAGGGCTAAATCCCGGCTGAACACCTCGGCACTGTCCACCCCCAGGCGTTGTCTTGCTTGAGCAGCGGGCATTTAGTCCCAATAAGGGTTGGGCATCGCTAAACTGGGGCGTCACCACAGCAACGGGAAGCAACAAGAGCCCACTTGGCACAATCTTTGTGGTGGAAATTGGTAAACAGCATGAGCACCTTGATGCTGTATTATTAACGAGCCCACAACTGCATAACCCTGCCCAGTACGGAGCAAGGCCTCGTCTGCAACGCAAAGAGAAAATATTCCGCGATACACACGAGAACGGATCCCCTCGAGGGAATCGCCACGACGAGATACCGGCCGCGAATCAGACGCGAGAACAACAACCCTAGCCGTGGACAACAACTCACGCTCCAGCAAATGGAAGAGCTGACGAGTCTTGCCGACTCCCCCGCGACCGCTGGTGGACCCCTCCAGATGGCATCACCCGATCGCGTGAACCAGCGCCGCGACAATCTCTTTGGCACATTGCGGGCTCAAGGAGCAGCGTCGGACAACGCGGGTCGCGACAGTACGGTGCACGACAAGATCAGCCAGTTCAACAACATGAGCATGCAGGCGAGGCAGCAGGAGCGCAAGTCGGCCGATGCGGCGCTGAAGCGGGCCATGCTGGGTCGCGAAGAGGCCGAGGCCGAGATGAGGCGCATCAAGGACGAAGCCGGAGCCTTGCGGCGGGAGATTGAGGAGGGCAAGGAGCGGGAGAGGAGAGTGGGCGAGAGACTGGAAACTGTCATGGTAAGCTGGCAGAGCCCCTTTGCTTCCATCACCTAACCCTCTAGCGTGGCACTTTATCCTCTCTCGTCACGTATGGCCAGCTAATGTGAGCCTTTTTTTTTCCGGCGAAAAGGAAAACTACGGACGCGCAAAGGAGACACACGCACACACGCAGGCTCTGTGGGAAAAGGAAATTCGACGCGCGCGAAAGGAAAACTTCAAGGCGCAATCGACCATTGTCAAGCTTCAGGAAGACCTCAAATCCACCCGGGCATCAACACAATTGATCGAGGAGACTCTACAACACGAAAAGGATAGGAACCATGTTCGAGAGGAGCAAAACATCAAAGCTCAAGCCACCATTGGCCAGCTTCAGGAGGACCTCAAATCAGCACAGGCCATGGCCAAGCTGGTCGAAGAATCACTACAAAAGGAGAGGGACCGGAGCCTCGCTCGAGAGGAACAAAACCTCAAGGCTCAGTCCACCATCAGCCAGCTCCACGAGGAGGTCAAAGCTGCGCAGTCCATGACCAAGCTTATGCAGGAATCACTACAAACCGAAAGGGAGAAGAGTCGCGCCCGGGAGCAAGAAACGTTTGAGGCGAAATACCAGGCTAGCAACCTGCAGGACCAGCTTGAACAAGCATTCGCCCGGCTTAAGCTGGTCGAACAGGAGCGGGATGCCTACAAAGTGGCGGCCAAGAACGAAGAGGTTGCACGTCTCGCTGCCGAGGGTCGTATTCCCCTGCCAACCGAGGAAGCAGATGACGAGTTTGCGTCGCCCCCTAGGAAGCGGAGGATCGCATCGACCATCAGGTGCAGGGATCCTCGTGTTTCTCTTTCAACAATGGAGATTGTCTCGTCAGCTGCCAGCGAGTTGGAAATCGAGCAGCTTACCGAGCAACTGCAATGGGAAAGGCAGAGAGCCGATCGAGCTCAGGAGATGATTGAGTTCATGCAGGCCGAATGCCAGATGCACTGTTGTCCATGCTCCAAGTCTAAACGTCGGACGAGCATGTTGGCAATGCAGCAGCTTCCCCGAACGACCCCTGAAAAGACGAGACTTTCCGTGGAGGCTCCCATTGAGGAGGAGGAGAAGGATGTGTCTACTCAGCCTCTTCCGTCACCCGCCCAGCAGCAGCAGGAGCTGAAGCTGGGAAAGCTGAGGAAGGGCGCTAGGCGAAGCACCGTCTTCTACCCTAAGGAGGGCGTCTTCCGTACGGTATCTGAACAAGAGGCCATTGAGCTGGAGGCTCAGCGCAAGGCAGAGATTGTCATCGAGGCTCACGAGGAGGTTGAGCCGGAGCCGTCTCCTCTCAAAGAAAAAACAGAGGCACATCAACGTATGTTTGCGAGAACACCGTCTACCGAGCCATCAGCCTATGATTTATCCCACGGGAGGTCATCGCTCATGTCGCTCATCAATGCTCCGCGAATTGACGCCCTAGCTGACTCTCTTCCGAATTCCTATAGCATCCCGACGGTCCGTGACAACGAAACCGCTCAGGAGAGGATAATGCGATATCAGGCGGAGGAAGAAGGGGGCTTGAAGCTGGCACCGGCGCCAGAGCCTCAGCCAGCGCAGTTTTCTCTCCCCCGGAAACGCCCAGCTCCCGGTTCCCAATCTTCTTCCAAAAGCACCTACTCAGTAACCACGACAACCGTCCCGGTTCGAGACGAGCGATCCTCTAGCTCGTTATCTTTCACCCAGAGGATGCGAACTGCGTCCAACAGCAGCAGTGCGAGCTTTGACACCAGCGACCCGGCAATGATACCGACCATGACTCGCGAAGAAGCTCTGGCCAAGATCCGCGAGAGAAGGGGACGCGCCAGGAGCACGACCAGGGGCGCAGCTACACCACAAAGCCGGCCAACGTCCGGCATGGGCCGGCGGAACGTGAGCAACCCAACGGGCACGGTTGGAAGCAGGTCCAGGTCCAGGCCCAGGAACGCATGAGGTGTTTTTCTTTTCTTTTCTGTTTCTTCTTTCAATTTTCATCTCCCCTATGCTTTGAATTTATGCAATGGAGGGTACATAAAGAGTGGTATAAGCGGCGACGTTTGGGCTGGGTTGGGTTCGGTTGGCTGGGATATTTATATTGATATGAGATGGACCACCCTGTTCATCCTCTTTACATTTTTCTTGTTTCTTCTTCTTCCTCACCTTGTTCTTTTCCTTCTTCTGGTCATTCTTTTCTATGTTCATTTTCCTTTTCATTGCGCAATGCCCAACGGAAAGGGATTAAGGGGAGGCAAATTTGGAGCGCTGGCGAAGGCGGCGTTTTTTTCTTCTTCTTTTTTTTGGATGTCATGCTTGTATTGGCGTTTCTTTCTTTCTTTCCTTTTTACCAGTGGTTCTTGATAGGTTTTCTTTGAAGTCAACAAAATTGGTACGAGGGTGTTTGCTCTTCTCATTGTTTTACCTCTTTTTTTTTTCTCCTCTCGGTCTTTGGCTACTTTTGCCTCCTGGTGTTTGATATTTTTGAAATTGATCCCCAATTGCGTTGCATAATCGTCAGGTGTTTATGATTTTTGCATTTGTACCGTTTCTTTAGTTTTTAGTAAAAGCCCAGACCATTTGCTTGATATCTCAGGGAAATGTTCCATTTGTTCAAAAGCTGGAGAGATTATATGTAGTCCAAGTCAATGTATTTGTTTGTCTTACATTCGCCTCAAGACAACAACATCATAAAGTTCAAAATGATTCTTAATATGGACAGGGCACAGAGACATGTACACTTCCCTCCGAATATTTGGTATCGCCTCGTTTCCCCCCAAGCAAGCCATTTAATAAACTCCCTTCTCTTACCCTTTGCTCATTACATGTTATATACAAAGAAAGACCTCCTTTTTTTTCTCCTCTCTAGATATTCTGGATCAGTCGCTAAGGAATTTCCTCGTCTTGTTCCTACCCCTTTCCGAGCTAACGGCATCAATCTTGACGGCCACAAAAACGCACTCGACAGCGCTTTTGCCGCTCTTGCTCTCCTGGATGCGTAGCCTAAACTGTCCCGTCTTAACAGCCCACTCTTGACCCTCGTGAGGAAGGCCAATATCAATGCTCTCGCCCATCCTCCGGCGCTTCCTGGGATTCACAGGAGTCTCGGCATCAGGGGTAATGGCAGGAGTGGCATCTTCAGCTTCGTAGCTGCTCAAATCTCCCTCATAGTCTTCGCCGTTGAGGATGATGGAAGATTCTGCCTCAAAGACGACTCGGACGAGATCCTCACTGAGGGGAGTGTTGCCTGGCGTGGCTGGCTGCGAACTGGCGCCCCCTGACGCCATGAGGAGGCCCAGAGGCTGCGTGGTCGGAGGCAGGTTGAGCTTTGTCGCGACCACTTCCAGCAGTCTCGCCACCCTAGCCTTTGTGCCGCCAAAGAACTCTGCTCTGACCCCCTCTGCTGAGAAGACGAACTTGGCCGTGGTCCCTCCAACCTCCAATATCAACTCTGCCGGCTTGTTGTCGACATATGGGCGTGCATACTTGACATACCGGACAGAGGAGCGCGAGGTCCCGTCAGACTCTTCAGCTGAGATGCTAACGCCACTCTTCTGCACATTCTCCAACCGCAGGGCAATCTCTTCGATTTGGCGCAAAGGATTATAACTGATGGAGTGGGGAACAAGCTGCTGTTCGATGCCTTTAAAGTGGAAATATCGAGCGTCGCGAAGGAGCTCTTGTCGATGATTCTCGTCGCGAATGCTAACCGGATACCCGCGCAACAAACGCAGCAGCTCGGCAAAGGTGTCGGCGTTACGGTTGGGAACCGAGGGGGGAAGTATGGAGGGGGGGCGTATCAGCCCTTCGCGATCGAGGCCAGGGAAGAGGTCGTTTGGCTGGGAGAAGAAGAGAGCGAAGCCGAGGGAGAAGTAGTTTGGGGAATTGGCAGGATCGTTGAGGACGTCACGAGGAATCTGGAATTCCCGATGACCGATGGACATGAAGATGCTCTCCTCGTTGAGCTGAGAAATGAGCTTAGGAACTATACGTGAGAAAGATGGTTAGTGCCTTGGGTAACCCGTAAGGCAATTGGGAGCCATTGGGCCCAAGAGAGAAGCATACGATTGTAGAACTGAGCGTCGGCAAATAAACGCACAAAGTGCGTCCCGTCCCGCGGCTTCACATGATATCCTTGTAGATGCAGCGCAATATCTCTAAAAGTCTTGGGATCGCGATCGATGTACAGCGTCCGGATCGTGGAGGACGGGTCTTCGCCTTTGCTCTCGGCCACTTGGATCTGGCAGAGGAAGTATTGTGAGAAGTATGACGGCGCTATGCCATTCAGAAAAAAGAAAGGTTAGCAAATAAGGGTGCCGAGATCAAGGGTTGGCCTCGCCAGAGCAAGCCACACAGCAAGCGACGAACCATCGGAGGACAGAGATGCGCCGGACAGCTTGAACAGTTCGCCGCCAATCTGGATGGGAAAGACGCGCTCTCGCGGCAGGATCTGCGGGATCTTGTGGACGTCGGCTCCCGAATGCAAGGGAAGCCCGGCGGTGCTGGGCGCCTCGCTCGGGCTCGCAGAAAGCATGGCCACTTCTCTTGGGGAGGCGGACATGGACATCGAGAAAGCGCCCCAGTTCCGGTGTCTAATTATATGTGTTGCGCCCCAACTAAGACGCCGGCTGCTGCGGGCGGCTACGGCGGCAGATGCAGGTAGAGAACGGCAGAGGCACTGGTATGGGGTCGAAGCAGAGAAGGATGGCGATGGCAGGCGACGAACGATGTTGGCGAAAACCAACCAGCAAGGCGAATTGTTACTCTCCGCGGGTGGGTTTGGATGGATTGCGGCGCTGGCCCCGGGCAACAACAGCGCGCCCCGGGCATTAGTTGCCGATAAGCAGAGCCCCAGACCGGCAGAGGTTTGGCGGGAGAAACAAACAAACAGAAACAAAAGTGGGATTTGCCGAGGATGGATTTGGAATCGCCGATGAAGCTGACAAAGGGGAGATGAGCTGCAGTTGCAGTTGGAGAAGAGAAGAGAATTTTGTTTTGTTATCTTGTAACTTTGCCTTCCTTGGTCGAGAAAGACTTGGTTGGCACTTGCTACTCCAAGAAAGAAAGAAAGAAAGAAAGAAACAGCAAAGGAAAGAAAAGAGTTGCGCCGTGATTGCCAATACCCGCGCGCGTTTCTGACGTAACATGAGGTTCTAAACCCCCGGATGGGGAATCTTCAGGGACCTTCAGGGACTTTCAGCGACTCGTAAGTGGCTGGGATGTTGAACTGTTTGCGGCGTCTTCTGCGCCACCCGCAGCTAAAGCTCGCTCTGTCCGTTTCGCGAGAATGTTGCCCGGAATGTTGCCCAAGTAATGGCAATGATACGATGCTGAATAACGGAGTAAGTAGTCTTTTGAAATCATTATCAATCAATTAATCATGACGAGCTGCTAATTGCAATGCGAGTGACCCAATTGCCTGTTCCTCGTATTGTCTCTTATCCCTCCACAGGCACGGCGCCAACTCGCTTCTCAAACATCATTACTGTGCTCATTTGCTCATCAATTCCACTCCTCCTCGCACAACTCCCACCACCGCTCCCGTCTGGACCATCTCGCTGCCTCCTCCAGCAACTCTGTGCTCAATCTCCGCCAGGCCTTCCAGCCAGGTAATCATAACCTCTGCGCTCACCTCGAGCTTCGTCAGCTGCTCCATCAGCGCCGTGATAATATCCGCCAGCGCCAGGCCCTGCGTTGTCTTTAGCGCATTAATCGTATTCAGACAGCTCGTCACGTCCGGCGTGCTCAGGAGCGTCTCCATAATCTCCTTGATGGCATCGGGCTGAGGCGCCGCAATGCAGTTGTAAATCGTTTCGGTAGTAATCGTCTCGCGCTTGATCTCGCTTTCCGGCGGTTTCGGTTCGTTCTTTAGTCTCAATGGTGTGCCTTGACGCTCAACAGTTAGCTCGGGACAGCAAATACAACCTCTGCGTGTGATGAAAACTCACTTGATGCATGACAGGCCTGAAGCACGTTCAATGCCCTTCGCATGTCGCCCTTGCTCAGCTTCACTAGTGCATCCACAGCTTCACCCTGGATCTTGACGTTTTCCTCCTCCACCACCTTCTCTACCAACACCCTAATGTCCCCCTCCTTCAACGGACTGAACCGAAATCTCGTACAACGAGACAGCAGCGCGGGGCTGAGCTTGTGAGCGTAGTTGGCAATGATGCAGAACCGTGTGTTTGCCGTGTACTTCTCCATGATTCTTCGAAGCGCCATCTGTGCGGTGTTGGTCATGGCATCCGCCTCGTCCAGGATGATCAGCTTGAACCCTGCAATCGCATTGCCCTTGGCTGCACTGCTGCCCATGGAAAAGATTTGTTTTGTGCTAGCAAACGTCTTAATCTGTTCTCGGACAACATCAATGCCTCTGTCGTCGGAGGCGTTCAATTCCAGCACCATCTGGCGCATGTTGGCAGTGCCGTAGATTCGTCGTGCCAGGGCCAAGATGGTAGACGTCTTTCCCGTGCCGGGAGGTCCGTAGAGAAGCAGGTGAGGGAGGCGATTCGACTCGACAAACTTGTTGATGGTGGCTAGAATGTCCTGGTGACCGGACACATCGTCGAGCGTTACTGGACGATACTTTTCAACCCTGAAAAGGACATTGTCAGTGAGCCGTTTGGATCAATAGCGCAGATTCCATTGATTTCGTACCATGGCAAGGTATCTTCAGCTTCAACTGGCAGGTTGGCAGCGCTCCGTTTGCCCTTGGTCGCCTCGGCTGAAAATGTGATATCGGCAGATGGACCAGGGCCATCCACGTCCATCTCATCCTCGTAGTCGGACATTTTTGGCGGGGAATAGCAGCTGCTGAGGCGAGATTCAAGCTTTTATATGCAATCTCACTGGGTATATGGCTTTATAATGAGCTGCGCCTTGGGCGACAAGAAACAATCGTCGTCGTTAATTTTTTGTCATGTGCAAAGTATGGAGCTGGACAAGTGCAGCAGCTACACGCGCCGAGACGTGTTCTGCCCATTAAAACCCCTGCAACTGCGCCACAGCATGGAGCAAGGTTAGCCACTGAGGGAATTGGAAAAGCCACAACACTCAGCGCAATGTACTCGCACTTATACCGGTTTATCATCCATCACATCACGCATCTTGAAATTGTACGCACTCCGGATAAATGTTGTATTCATTTCTCCTAGTTCTTCAGCCCCCCTCAATACCCTTTCCAATATACCTACACAAAGATGATTATGATTATAAGACAAGAATCGTAAAAAAGAAGAAGAGGGAGAATAAGTGGAAGAAGGAATAGTAGGATACATGCTCTCTCCGTTTATTGTCTCATGGCTGTCTTTCACATAATGCGACCAGTCGCCGTGCCAGAACAGAAAAATAGAATGGCTTAAAAGATTCCCAAATTCGTCAAGCAAGAAAGGACAAAAGAAGCAGAACAAGGCAAGAAAAGGAAAGAAACGCCCCACCATGTCCCTATGTTCATCAAAAGGAAACATGTACGTAAAAACGATTTGCGCCTACCATGAACCTATTTAGCGCAACGGTCACTTGCTCAAGAGGCAATTCGTTCTGTAACCGTACGGACAACGCCGAGACCAATGAAGCTGAATATCATGGGCATTCCTGCTACTGCAAGCCACGAGATTCCTGTGGTGGGGTTTTCTCGTTAGTTGTGTACTCGATATTCAATGGTTGCAATGTTGGATTCCTACCTGCGTAAACCACGAGTTTCGTGACAACTTCGACATCGTATCTCACTCGCGGCTTCACCAGCTGAGAAAAGACCTCCTTCTCGTCACGCGCATCCTCCATGGAAAGATAAATATCCGGGTTCCCATTCTCTGCCCCTTGCATAACCAGAATGTCATTCGGACCTCTGAGCGACTCATTATCATAAAACGCCGCCTTCTGGGCACCTGAAGTTTGTGCTCCCTTGCCTGACTTGTCTTCCTCCTTGCCGTTGAGATCCATATTGCTTGATTTGCTCTTGAGACTCGCATTGCTTCCAATGCTGTCCCTTCGTTGCCGTTCCCGATAAGCCAAGGTTTCGTATGCATCTGCCGCGCTCTGAGGCCCGATAGAGACCGATCGACCTCGAGTTGTGGGATGTCGAATACTCTCGACCATGCGAGGAAAATCAGAGGCCGTCGGAAATAGTGTATCCAACCGCGATCCGGGAGGCACAGACTTGTACTCGCTAGCGGGCGTAAAGAATCTTCGAGGCAGGTCAAAGCCGGTCGACTCGATAAGACGGAACAGGTGAGGCAACACCTTGAGCAGCGTGGGCTTCATAGTCTCGCGCCAAACAAAAATGGCAATGATTCCCACAACCATCCTCGCCGCTATAACCCACGATGTATACGGCAGAACGCCCATGCTAGACTCGGCGCCAGCTAGGAAAGTCCTCCCGACAGTCCAGGTGCCGGCTTCCAAGCCAATTACTACGCCGGCGAAGGCGACACTATCGTCGAAGCACGGACAATCATCTGCAGGCTCGGGATGAATTCGCACAAAGACGACGACAACCAGGCCAGCAATGACGGGGACCAGCCAAGTGCCGTGCTGCATCGCGGCGTCCAATGGCGGCCCGTAATAGTATTCCAAGACGGTAATACCAGCCCCCATGATAGATCCGATGACAACGTCCAAGAACCCGTGCATGCCGCAGTAGAGCCGCCCAAAAACAATCGACACAGCGTAAAAATACGACAGGATCTCGAGGAGCAGCTTCGTCGTGTCCGAAAAGGTGTTGAGGGGGTCGCGCAGGTGTAGGATGGCGTAGACGGCAACGGAAACGGCATTGGCGCTGTGAGTCGAAGGGAAGCCGTACTCGAGCGCGGCGGATCCAGACATGGTAATGCGGTTGAGCGGCGGCGACAGCGGCCGGGGCAGCGAGTAGAAGTCCTTGATGAAGCCTGTCCAGAAGACACCCAGCGCCAAGATGTGGACCAATCTGCGCCCACGACATTAGCAATCCCAAGCTCCAAACCCATACAGCAAGCAGATGAGCGACAGTAAGAAGGCCGCTACACTCTCGAACGAAGCAGATTTCTTCATCCCCAAACATACCCCTTGGCAAAGGCCGCATAGCCACCCCAGAACAGCATGGGCAGGAAGACCATGAAGAAGGTGTGCGTGCCCAGGTTGGCCGTGATGGCGAAGTAGCTGTCGAGCGCCGGAGTGCGCAACTTGCTCTGGAGAGCAGCCAGATACGGCGTCTCCCAGCGAATGAGCGGGAGCGCCTGTTGCCGCAAGTTATATCTCCATTTTGGAAGCGCTCTTTTATCTACAGGTGGCCTTGTGTCAGCGCATGCGTCTTGTTGCTTTGGGATGTCACCGTCCCCTCTCCCTCTATTTGCTTCTCTCGCCTGCGCTCCAGTTTCAACTCGTCTCCCCCGATGCTCGATCTTCCCATGACCGTCGCACAACACCGATCCTGCTCGTAGATTGTCTTCATCTCCTCCTCCTCCTCCTCCACCGGGAGCTGCGTTGGACCTACAGTGATCGAGACTTCTCAGCCCCGCGTCAGGGACGCTGTCCTTGTGCTTGTGATGCGGCGGGGCATCGCGTCGCGTGCCGCTCATGGTGGGAATCCCAGGCAGTCGACAGCGCTGTCAGGGAGGATCTCAATATGTCGTAGGACGAGATTGGGACCCGACATGGAGTGACAGCGGAGGGCGAGTGACGGGCAGAGTAGGCGGAGGGAAAAGCGAAGACGTGGCCCCGGAGTCCGCAGTTTTTTATTAGTGAGATGCGATGCGACGAGCCCTGGCGCAAAAAAAAAATTGCACTGAAGTAAAAAAAGGCAAGCCACCAAACCCTGTAAGCCTCGTGCTCCAGCAGTTATTTACAGCCAAGAGACTCTATCTATGCTTGGCTATTACTCAAAGCCACCACGAGGTAATACGAAGAGAGAAAAAGCCAAAAGGAACATGACCTTTTTCCAAGTTGGCTTAGCTGCCGAGGGATTTACCAAATTGGGTTCTTCATTTACCACAGATAGCGGTACGTTGCCGGCCGTTAAAACCATTGGAAGATAAAGGCCGTCGAGGCGACATCAAATGGATGTGCTGTAGATCCGTCCAGCGCTACTCCGCACCGAGGTACGGCCTGTAAAAGCCAAGGGTCCATAACCGCTTTTGAAACAGTAAAGTGCCAGTATTGCAGGGTCCTTGTGCTTCGTGGGCATGCGGTAGGTACTATGTAGTACCTGGCGGCTATAAGCGCTTGTGGAATCACAGTCGGCCGAATTGCATAATTGACCCCATGGATATCCATCATGGAAAGTGTATCATTGAGGTTCCATCTCAGACAGTAAATACACGTTCTCGTATGTCTCCGGGGCATGGATCACATGCATCATCCAACACGCTAAGGCACAGCGCCTTCAGTGGATCAACCCGATGGCTTCAGGCCCCCCAGCTCCCCCACTGATTCCCCAAAACAGCACCGAGCAAAACACCAGAACTAAATTAAACATTCATATCGACATCCTCAGCCCTAAATCCCCAATCCAAACCGACGAGGCCCAACACCATGGCGCTGTCCCTCGCAGGCAAGCACTGCGTCGTCGTCGGAGCCACCGGCGTCATCGGATTCTCCATAGCAAAGGCTTTCTCCCACCACGGCGCCGTCATATCTCTGCTCGGCCGCTCCGTCCTCGATGCGCGCCCTCGTCTGGAGCCGCAGCTTCGCCCCTACAGCCTACCCGGGACTGACGCCGACACTCCCTCGGCTCACCAGTTTATTCGTCTGGATGCTTCGAGTCGGGACGACATCAAAGCTGTGTTTGGTTCACGCGGATCATCAAAGGTAATTTCATTATCTACTACAAGTGAAAATAAAACCGGAGAGAATTGATATTCCTGTGTAAACCATGTGCCTCATGGAATTCTTTCTAATGAAGCGGATACACTCATGTATAGTCTTCCGTCGGACCAATTGATATCCTCGTCAACTGTGCCGGCATTTCTCAGACCACCTTGTTAAAACGAACTCCAGATGAGGAGCTCTCATCCATCGTTGATACAAATTTGCTGGCTACTATGCTCGTGTGTAAGCACGCAAAGATGAGGCCAAACGGTATAACCCTCTTCTCCATGTGCTGTGATTCCTAGACCAATTAACAGCTAAATCCTTTCTTAGGCTGCATCATCAACGTCTCTAGCCTCATGGCAACAAAAGGTGGTTTGGGGGCTACAGCTTATGCTGCATCCAAGGCTGGAGTAATCGGTAAGACGGCATCATGCTTGCATCTTTGTGATTTCTTTCGTTTGCTAAATACATTGTTTTACATACATCTCCTGTGGTCGAATGCTCATGTCATCTTAGGCTTTACCCGTGCCTTGTGCCGTGAGATGGCGTCTCGGTCTATCCGTGTAAATGCTCTGCTGCCCGGCTGGGTTAACAGCTCCATGTGGACTGGTGTGTATATCCTCCTCCCTATATCCTCTCCCTTGGACACCATGATTGTTCCTCCCCCTTGTACCCAAGCTAATGTACAACCCAATATTAGATCTCAAGCCAGAAATCCAGCAAGCCTATCTCAGAGATACTCCCCTCAACAGAGTGGCAAATCCCGCAGAGGTTGCTGATGCCGCTCTGTTTCTGGCATCCAACGGCTTTGCCAACAACTGTATTCTCAACCTCGACGGTGGACTGAGCGCTGCTTGAGACATCGCAGCGGCTTCTTTGGCGCTTAATGCAGCCATGTATATCATTAATCATCGATGACGATGGCTCCGCCGGCGTCTTCCACAACCACCACGTCATCGGCTGAGCCGACAAGCTTCGCTTTTTTGAAAGGTGGGCTGCCATCGTCGGGAAGTGGTCTCTTGGTGCCTTTGGACTCCTCTACCACCTCGTCTTCTAACGAATGCTTCCCGTTTTGCTGGCCGTGACCATTACCGTTGGTTTCGACTGGAGAAGTCTTCTGAGTCTTGTGAGGGATTTCAGGACGGCCAGCATGTACAGTGCGGAAAGACTCTCTTTGGTTATCCAGGATGCTGTACTCGATTAGCTTCTCTCTCGTGACAACCTCACTCCATATCACATACCCATTTTGAATATCAATCACCAAATTGACGAATGGGGCATCATCATCCTCATCGGTGACAGTTAGAAAACTTCCTCCTTTGATGCCTGCAAAGTTGTTAGCTACTTTGTTGCAATTAGAAGGGGAGAAGAGAATTGTTGAAACGCCATACCAAGCTCAGTGAGTTTCTTTCCGAGGTTGTCTGTCTCGTCTGGATCATACAACACGCCAACGTCATTGCTCACGACAAACTCTTTGTCTCCATAACCGAACTGCTCCTTTACCAGCTCCTCGACAATGTCCCCAAGTGTTGCTCGGGACAAATCGGCAATGACACTGGTGTAATAAACTCCGCAGACGGGGCAATCAGGGTTTGGTTCTCGATTCTTATCTGGAGCCAGCAGTCTTGCGTTGGCAAAGGGTGTTAGGAATACTTCTTTAGCCTGCCCGTATTCGCCTTTGAGCACCTTGAAGGACTGCAAGACACAGAGACCTGCAACAATGGCGTTTGTTGTGGCAATAGCGGGGATGATGTTGCCGGCCATCTGTTTGATGTCGAAGCGAGACTTGACATCGATGCCAAAAACTGTGGAGCGAATGTTTGCGCTGGATGCTACAAAGTCCAGAGTATCGTTGTCGTCTTTGTCAAAGGTAATGGTTGGCTCAGGGGCGGATGGATCCTTGGTCGCCCTCATTTGAAGCAGTCGCTTGCTGAGCCGGTCAAGACTGTCGTTGAAGACAACAAGACTTTCTTCAAGGGACCAAACTTTCTGTCCGTCTGCAACTATGGCATCTTTTGATTCGAGAGCCTGGCCGGCTCGTGCCATCACTTCATCATACTTGAGCGCTTCAGGGGCGCGACGTGATTTCCACATGTCTTCCACAGATCGCAGGCGCTCGATGTCAGAATTAAAGACTTTGTCGAACAACAATCTTGAAAATTCAGGTGTCCCTATTGCTCCTCGAATTTTCTTGAGGGCCTCTGACTCTTTCTTTAGTTCCTCGATTTCTTGGGCTAGTAACTTTGTTCAGTATTAAACTTCTTCTTGCGCCGGGTAAGATGCATGAATTACCGTTATCCGCATCCGCCGAGTGATCAAAAGCAGATTCATCCTCACTGACACCAAAGATTTCACTGAACAGAACATGTTAGAAAGGGCGATGACGAAGGCATACTGGATGCAAGGAGAAGCCTCTTACTTGAGTAGATAGCTTTTGCCCCAAACTATGCAATGGATTGGCTGACTCGGGGTGCTTCGAATCGTGCAGACGGGAAAGGACTTGGGGACGTCCTTGGGAGTGCAGTCATAGCAAGCAGTGACACCCTTTTTGATGACCTGGACTTGGCCGTTGAAACCAGTCGTGCCACTCTCAATTAGGGGAACATCTGCCGCCAAGCACATCTTATTTACATGCCGCCTAGCGTCGAGGTTGTCGAGGGCATTGAAAACGATCTTGAAGTCGCGAAACCACGGAACGCTGAACTCGACGTCCTTGATGTTGGCATGATGCGCGACAATCTTGACGTTTGGATTGAATCTTTGCGCCGCCTCTTTGGCAACCTGCCCCAGAAGTTAGCACTGCGAAACTCGGCCCATCTTTAGCGCAGCCTCGGCGTCCCAACGCACCAGCGACTTTGATTTTTTGATATGCTCGTGTCGGAAAAGGAATTGACGGTTGAGGTTGGACAGATCGATCGTATCGAGGTCGACGATGTGAATCTCGCCGAAGCCGTTGAGGACTAGGTTTTTCAGAAGCTCGCACCCGATACCACCAGCGCCCACCATGAGCACTCGCGCCTGTGACCAAGGTCAGTATCCAAGTTGGAATCCTGCCGAGAGAAAAAGAAACATTATTGAAGCAAGAGAAAAAGTGAATTTAACAATGGCAATAGAGGGAGTGAATGAAAGGCTCGGGTCGAATGGGGGATCTGCTGCCTGCCAGCGTGCGTTTGGATCGCGGGACAGCAGAGGTTAAAGCTTCCAAAACCACAGCCTCGTCATCCTACGTACATGCTTGACTGAGGAATTCAGAGATGCGCCCAGCGACTGCTGATTAAATCGATCGCGCGTAGCCATTGCGTTTCGCTGAGGAGGTGCGGGATGTGACGCGACAATCCGCCGCGGCTGCTGAGGCTCTTGGGCAGCGGTGGCATCAGCAGCAGTTGACGTGCTCTCGACTGCATCTACGGCAGCCTCTCTGGGAGCCTCCATCGCTGCCATCAGCGCGAGTGAGGGCACTGCGGCAGGGAATAAAGACAGGTGCGATGACGGGAGATTCGGGGCCTGTATTTTGGTGATGGGATTCGAAGGCGATCGGTCGCAGGTGAAGCAGAAGGCGTCGAATCGATTGCGCCAAACCCGTCACTCTTTTCAGCTGTTGGTCTGGCGATGCTCGGCGCAGGTGCAGCTTCAGGTCTTCAAGTACAAGGTACGAAGCAGTTGGAAAGCCGGATTTGCGACCAATGAGATGAGGTCAGAGGCCCGGGGAATATGCCCGAGGGGCCCGTGCGCTTCCAGCGTGCTGATTGGCTGAGCTAAGATAAGAGATTGGCGGGAGTGACTTTGAGCAAGGCTACATGTGCCTGGCTGGATTATTTCTATTTTTTTATTTTTCAATGGACAATGTATGGGATACTTGGGTGCAAAACATTTGCAGAATATGACAATGATGTAGAAGAAAAGAATGCAAAAATAGTCTTGATAAAGTAATCGTAGATAGAAACCTGCTGCAAGCATATCTGTAACTCTTTTAGGCCCCGATTCCAACACTGAGAAAAGCCCCTGATTGGGCTCTACAGACACCCAGTCCTTGGCTCAGCGGGGTGCTATTCACAGCGCTGTCCACCCAAGCCAGAAGCGCTTTTGGTCTTTCCAGTGAACAACATCTTGACCTCACTTCACTTCACTTGACTATTCAACTTTTCACATACAAGTGAATTTTTGCACTCTCCCCTCTTCCACACAATGTCGGATGACGAAGTAGATCTCGAGCTTCTCGCTCTTCTTCGCCAGCACCTGCAGGGCGTCTCCATCAAAGACGAAGAGCCCGAGACAGGCGTCCTGCCCGACGCCGAATACGTCTACAACCATGGAATCGACGTGGCCATCGACATGCAGTCGACGAAGCGGGCTGCAGAGTCCATCTATGCGCAGATGCAAGAGAAGAGCTATTCCACCTCCACCTGGTCATCGCACGAGCTGCATCCCAAGGCCAAGGATGAGGCCACCGCCGCCTTCATCTTCACCATGGACCTGCTCAACTTTTCGTTCTGGTCTGAGCTGCCTGATGACGAGAGGTTTGCTATTGAGTACAAGGGGAAGCGGTGGACGGGGTACTGGAGTCTTGTGGCAGCCATGCAGAGGGCCCTTGAGGAAGGTTGGTGGAAGCTTTCTTGTGTTGTCGATTCAAGTCATTATCTTCTCACACTGACGTTTATGTTTACCAGACATCCCAATTACGGATCCTCATTTCTGGCAGAATGAGGAAGAATGCAATCTAGAATCGCTCAGACACGTCTTTCGATCCTGCACAGAGGAAGAAATGCCTCTTCTCCAGGAGCGACTGGACTGTCTCCGAGAAAGCGGAAACGTGCTCTACAGTGTAAGTCATAAACTCTCTCATACACGATATGTTTAATATATAACACTAACTCCGTCACTTTAAGAAATACGATTGCTCTGTTGTCAACCTCATCTCCGCGGCCAACGGCTCCGCGGCCCAGCTCGTCAACCTGCTTGCCAGGGATTTTGACTGCTTCAGAGACGAGCACCCTTTCGAGGGCAGACGCAACCCCATTCGCATCATGAAGCGCGCTCAGATCTTTGTGGCCGACATATGGGCTTGCTTCGAGGGCAAGTCGTATGGCGAGTTCCGCGACATTGACAAGATTACAATGTTTGCCGACTATCGTGTGCCTCAGATACTCTCTACCCTCGGCGCATTGTACATTGGTCCGCAGATCCATGCGGCGATCCGTGACAAGAAACTTATCGAAAGCGGAAGCAAGTGGGAGATTCAGCTACGAGGTGAAGATCGGCGTCGTTCCAATGTTTGTGATATCTCTTACTAACGTTGTCGCAGCTTGCAGTATTTGGTGCGTTGAGTTGATACGGAGGGAGATCCAAAAGGCACATCCCGACACTCACGTCAATGCTATTCTGATCGACTTCTTCCTTTACGACACAATGAAAGAGATGGAAGCAGAGGGCAAAGAAACTATCCCTCATCATCGCACACGCAGCATCTGGTACTGATTCCACACTATACTTGGACGAGGACTTAATCAAAAGCATATGGCACGGAGCATGGCATCTCAAATTATAGAATAAACATACAACATCTATGTACTATCTGCAAAGATGGTACACCAATCAACTCGCATACCCATCATAGCCCCAAAAGAAATCATGAAGATGACAAACAGAAAAAAAGAACACATTGCACCCAACGCCACGACCCTACCACTGCTGATGATTTGTCTCTTATGTAAACAAAGCCGTGGCATTCATTATCCGATCCATGTGCGCAGTCTCAACTTCGTCATTCTCCTTGTTCTCCTCTCTCAAAAGAACTGCCAAAACTTCAATCGGGGGCTTCATGCCAAGACGCTCAGCTCGCTGCCACCGCTTCACGCGAGTGATTCCGATACAAGGCTTCAGGAAGCTGATATTAACACATATCCAATCCAAACATTCCGCACCTCCGTATAGGAGAGGAGAGGAGAGGAGGTTCGTAAACTTACACCATATTGCGAGCTCACATCAAAGTATCGCAGCACTTTCTCGCCCAAATCAAGATCCTCCTGGTGCACTCGAGGCGCCTTGCGCACCTTTTCAATTGCTTTCCAGTACGACTTGATCTGGGCATCTGTGATCTTCTCCGCCTTGAGCTCTGCTTCCGTTTTCTCAGGGGCTTTTTCGGCGACAGGTTCTACTTCTGCCTCCGACTCCTCGTGGACTTCAGGCTCGTCTGCGACAACATCGACGAACTTTTCCTCCTCTTCCTCCTTGGTTACTGCGCCCTTTGATGCTGGCCTCTCCGGAATGGTGGTTTTGGCAATCGCGGGAGTGTCTGTCACCACCTTCTTCAGATCCTTTGGCACGGCCTTTGTAACTCTGCCCGTGAAGCTGATTGTTGACTGTCCCTTGGCGGGGCCAGGACGACCCCGGGCGGCCGCTGCTGCTCGTCTGGTGGTAGGCATTGCTCGATGATGATACCCTGTAATGGTATTGAATACCGATATAATGCAGCAATTGTTGCGCTAATTCCACGACTATAATTGTCTTGCTTGTATCGATGCTCCTGTCCTATCGAAAATGAGATGCAGGAACACTGGCGATCAGGTGGAGTTCCGCTGGTGTCTGCCTGTGATGTGAGTATGAATGATGCACAAACTGGCGCTAAAGTTTGGCGGGGCAACGCGAGACTGGAACGATGTCACGTGGCAGTCATGATGCTCCAGTTCCTACAGCACTTCCAAGGTCGTTCCTTCGTTGCAATCACACACCTAATCACGTGGTAAACTTCCATCAATGTGTTGGATGAAGGAGCAGAAAGTCCAATTCCACAATTCAACATGCTGTGCACCCCTTCCAATGCTCCTGCGCCCGCCTGTGAGAAGCCTAGCTACCTGTTGCCTCCCTGTAGAATGAAATGCTCCTGTTTGCGCCGGCCGTGCAAAACATCTCGCTGCGCCCAGTCTTGGGCAGCCACCGGACGGCCCAGAGTGCCTTGTCCGTCTCGCTATGCGTTGCAACACAAACGCTGCGCTCGATTGACCACACCTTCACTTTGCCGTCCATGGAGCCGCTCAGCAGATACTCACCAGTATCGCTCCAGTCCAGTGAAGTGATCCATGATGAGTGTCCCGTTAGGTTGCCCACATGTTCGCCGTGCTTTGTATCATATATGGCGATGATGCCCGCATCACCAGCTGCAGCCACCCTGGTACCGGCCGGCGAGATTGCTACGGCTCGCACAGGTTTGGCAAGGCCTGTAGATTCCTGTTAGCTTCAAGATGGAAGAAAACTAGTAAACTTGAAGATGGGAGAGTGTAACCTACCAGACAAGGAGTATAGAATTCTTCCCGTGTCATTGTTGAACACGTAGACGGAGCCATTCTGGTGCCCGCTGGCCGTAAACTTTCCATCTCTGCTAAGATCCACGCACATGCCAAGGCTGCCTGAACCCGCGCTCCCAGTCTCATATTCCCGGATCTTGGCTTTACTCTGGTCTGCGACATCCCATACATTGATCCTGCCGTCGTTTGTAGTGCTTGCCAGATAGCCTCCGTCCTCGCTGAGAGCAATCGCCCACACTTCACCTGGCTTGACGGTTGGGCCCGTGATTTCGCCGCCGCTGTTCCAGTCTCCAGTTTCCTTGTTCAGCTCCCATATCTTGACCTCACCCCCGAAGCCAGCGCTGGCGGCATACAGGCCGTTGCGTGATGTGCAGACATGGTGGCAGCCTAGCTTGTGGGCGTCAGGAATGGACTGCCTCAGAGGAAAGGAAGGGTCCGTAGTGTCATGGACGTGAAGCGTTGAAGAGCCGCTGGCCGAGATCAATGTCCTTTGCGTTGCAGCCAGCGAGAAGATGTCTGTGATGTGGGCTAGGGATCACTCATTAGCTGTTTAGCTCTTGACGAGCGAAATGATGACGACAAACCGTCATCCACCGTATGGGTGGTCAAATATTGCTTGGACTACAGGGTCGAATAAGTGAGCTTTTACAAGGTCATATTGAATTTGACGAGGGCCATACCATTGTCGCCTGCCTGCGATGTTGCTGTTGCTTGGTGGTTGTTTTTGGCTGGGCTGTGGTAGGAGCTTGGTGACTTTGTGAGTTGGTGGGGTTAAATGGTCCGCTACAATACCAGCGTCAGATGCAAAAGGCCAGGATGAAACAGTGAACCACAAAGACATGTTGCTCTCATTGAGTTCATGCCAATGGATTAAATTACATATAATAAGTTGTTAAAAGGATTTTTTTTTTAAAGAGCTGATAGATTGCGCAGAGTTTCTAAAGTACACTACGCATAGGTCATTTGGCAGAAACGAGGCGGGATGCTGTTCACATGTTCGTAATTTTTTTATATATATCTGTTTAAGAGCATCGCTTTTCTGCCACCCGATTTCTCTATCCCGATCCTCATACTAGTAGTACATAATGAAACAAAGCCTTGGCTGAGGCAAACGCCAGCTGTATGCTTGGTTAGGCCGAGGTTGTGGTATCCAGGCCTCTGATAAAGGTGTCGGATGGAATCCAGCCATCTATCGCTTAGAAACCTCTGTTTACAGGATAATCTTGACGCCATATTCTCTTCATTTCTAAATTCATTAAGGCCATCGTTAGCATTGCACGAGTCAATGGACCCTTCCTTTCGTAGCCGTACCTTCTAAGCAGTTCTGGCATAACCTGTGCGTCCTCTTGATCTCTCCGCATCCAGGACATTTGCATAGATGGTTGACGTCTTTTAGAGCCTTTCCAGCCATCTGCCTTGATCTCTTCTTAGAGTGTGAAACCTTGTTCTTGGGGACTGCCCGCAAGACTGATTCCCAGATATCGCCTAGCAGGCCGGGGATGTTGATGGTGACGCCGGGGACGGCGATTGATAGCGCTGGAAGGAACTTGAGGGTATATTGTGTGGTGTAGAAAGTTGCCCATCGTGAGACAGAGAAATAGAGAGGCGACGACAGCCGGGGGAGGAAAGCGGTGGCCATGGCAGCCGTTATGATGCCTTGTTCTTCTATATTCAAATGTCGGTTGGCGCAAAAACCAGCTCGATTGTGCGCACAGAGAATCCAATTTCCGATTCCCCAATGCAAAGCACACTGCAGGTAAATATTCGGCCGCCCGTATCCAGAAAACTCAGAGCTCAGAGCCGTGTCTCGGTTTGTTTTCGTGTCTCGTTAGCGGTTCGGTGCGGGATTCGATATGTCGTGGTTCATCAGCTATGCGCCCATTGAGAAAATCGAATCATCAAAATCTTGCCTCTAGCAGCTTATCCAGCCTAGCATGAAGTACCCAGGTACCTCCAGGTTCCGTCCAACTCTGGGGCATCATTCCGCCCACGACTGGGGCACTGCCGTACCGCTGAAGTACCGAATACAACGGCTTCTCGCAGCGCCACTTTTCAGCGGCCAAACGGACCAATCGCTGGCCAGAGGGTCCCGGGACGGCTCCACAGCCAATCAGCAGCTCGCAATGCTGTGCTCTGGTGCTGCTACCCCTGGCACCTTCTTTCCCCCCCTTTCTCGTGTCCCTGGCCTGCTCCTGCCCCTACGCCGAAATTATTGCAGTTACCTGGCAAAGCAAGAACACGCCAACTGGTCCAGTAAGAGTAAGGAGCCACCGCCAGGTCCAAAAAGTTCCCCTTCTCCAGTTCACAAACCTCCAATTCCACTTCAATCAGGTTCCCGCTTTGTCACTGCCGGCCTCGCGTCTGCTGTTCTCTCACGCGTTTTCCCTGAAAGCTCTCGCTCTTTTTCTTGGAACAGGCTCATCAGCAGCATCCATCGTCGCCTTCACTCGTTTCCCCCCTACCACAACCAGCACCAGAACCAGTCAAAATGGCCACTCCCTCCACCATCACGCCCTCCAGCCATGTCGGTTTCGACAGCATCACGTCGCAGATTGAGCGCAAGCTGCTGAAGCGCGGATTCCAGTTCAACGTTATTTGCGTTGGTAAGTTGCGCACGCGCTGGTGATGACGATGCATCTGGTGCCGAATGCGAACACTAACCGCCTCCGCAGGTCAGACTGGTTTGGGCAAGTCGACGCTCATCAACACCATCTTCGCCTCGCACCTCATCGACTCAAAGGGTCGTCTGCAGCCCGACGAGCCCATTCGCTCCACCACCGAGATTCAGGGGGTCTCTCACCTCATTGAGGAGAACGGTGTCCGTTTGAGGCTCAACATTGTTGATACCCCTGGATACGGAGACCTCGTCAACAACGACCGCTGTTGGGATCCCATCGTCAAGTACATCAAGGACCAGCACTCCGCGTACCTGCGAAAGGAGCTTACCGCTCAGCGAGAGCGTTACATCCCCGACACGCGCATTCACTGCTGCCTGTTCTTCATCCAGCCTTCTGGCCACTCCCTCAAGCCCATCGATATCGTCGTCTTGAAGAAGCTGTCCGATGTTGTCAACGTTGTGCCCGTCATCGCCAAGGCGGATACCCTGACCGTCGAGGAGCGACTGGAGTTCAAGGAGCGTATCAAGGCTGAGTTTGCCTTCCACAACCTCAAGATGTTCCCGTACGATAACGAGGAGTTTGACGACGAGGAGCGAGCTTTGAACCAGCAGATCAAGGTAGGCACATGATTGTTTCTCCCCTTGATATACTTTGTTTGGTGTGTTATATCGCTTAGACAGCGTTTTGCTAACGTACTCGTTTGTAGAGCCTGGTTCCTTTTGCGGTTGTTGGCTCTGAGAAGAACATCATTGTCAACGGCAAGCAGGTCCGCGGTCGTCAGAACCGCTGGGGCGTCATCAACGTTGAGGATGAGAACCACTGCGAATTCGTCTACCTGCGAAACTTTTTGCTCCGAACCCACCTCCAGGACCTTATCGAGACCACCTCCCAGATCCACTACGAGACATTCCGCGCCAAGCAGCTGCTTGCGCTGAAGGAGAGCAGCGCGCACGGTGGTGGTGCCGCCAGCAGACCGATCAGCCCTGCCGCTGACCGTGAGATGAGCCGGGGCTCCCAGCGAATGGGCATGAACGGATACTAAGTTTTCTCCATGTGCTTAATATTCAGTTGATAGGGAGAGTGATGGCGTCTCTTAGCGGTAACGGTGATTAACCAGTCTTGCGATAATTTTCACCTCGGGATTGGTGCTGTGCGCAGTAAAGGGAAAAGCAGTGTATTTTCTATTTTGAAGAAGTGAGGATTGGCCGTCTGGCACCGCAATCCGGCTCAGCAATGGCCCTGTTCGCATTAGGCAAAGGCACGAGAGGTGAAGGCACTGAGAGCCGACGTGCGATCGAAAACGACTGGGCGCGTATACCAGCCAAGCGATATTTATAAGGGCGGCATGCACTGTGGCTATTGCGAGTCGCTCGATGGCACGACGCACCTCGCCTACGGTCCTTTTATACGCATTTTATTTTGTCCATTTTTTTAGTAGTATCGTCGGAGCCTTCCTTGACCATTTTTCTTACGTTTTAATCAGATCCCCATACCTGTACTTTCCAATATACCTACAGTTAGTTGAGTCGTCTAGGAAGAGTGGCAGAATGTGGAGAGATAGAGAGAGAGTATGATATGTTGATTAATTTTGCATTTGTCTCTTTGCTTTTTATGTTTTCAAGCTTGCTTTCTATCTTTGTGTGAATCAATTGGTGACCGTCGCCGCTGTTGGCTATCTAGAGCAAAGGAATTGCTGCGTCCAATGGATGCGCCATGCCCTTGTGTACATAGTAATTGTAATAAACGAAAGGGCACCTTGATGGGTATTTGCTAAAAATGAAGGGATACGCGTCTCATTTTACTGTTGAGGGCTGTAGACGAAGTCCTCGAACTTTTTGTAGGACGCCTCCAGGTCGTTGTTGACAATGATGATGTCGTGAACGCCGGGCGTCTTTGAAAAGTCGAGCTCCTTTTGGGCCTGGGCCAGTCTTTCCTGGATGCTCTGCTCTGTCTCAGTGCCTCGGCCCCGCAGGCGCTGCTCCAGGGTTTCGATGGATGGGGGGGAGACGAAGACGTAGCGGGCATCAATGCCGGACTTTTTGATTTGCTTGACTCCCTGTTTGTGTCGTATGTTAGCTCTCTCTCTCTGTGTGTGTGTGTTTTGATTTACTTGTAACGTTATAGACGGATGGATGTCAGGTATTTTATTGTGCGGTTTGGCCGTACCTCCATCTCAATGTCTAGCAAGACGACCTTGCCCTTCTTGGTCTGCTCCTCAATGGTCATCTTGCTGGTGCCGTAGCGGTTGCGGCCGTACTTTGCGTGCTCGACGAAGCCGTCCTTGGCAATGAGGTCCTCAAAGTCCTCCATCTTGACGAAGTGGTAGTGGACGGCGTGCTCCTCGCCGGGGCGAGGGTCGCGGGTGGTGTGCGAGACGGAGAGGCAGAAGGTGTCTGGGTGGCGGTCGAAGAGCATGCCGTAGAGAGTCCCCTTGCCGACGCCCGAGGGCCCGGAGACGACGATGGGACGGCGGTCAGGAGGAGCTGGAGAGGGCCGTCAGCTGTTGCTCTTTTTCCCTTTTACTGAGGAGGGTTTTTGGCGAGGGCATTGGCAGGGCTGTTGGGTGGGAGCTTACGGGTGGCCATTGTGCTGATATACTTGACTCTCGGAAACTGGGAGATTGGGCGGCGGCGGAATGATATCGCTGGGAGCTGGAGGCGGGGAGGCATATGAGAGCCGCTGGGCAGATCTGGAGGGGTTGCTGGACAATGATCGCGGGATCTGAAAGTCGCTGTCGGCACTAACCACTACGGTAAACGGGAGGGCAGAAAAAAAGAGTATTGCTATCCGGGCGGTATCTAACCCAATTAGGGAAGTAGGTCTCTTGAACCCAAAACCTTATACGTTTTCAACAAGCCTTTATAAATATAACAAAAATAGAAAAAAATAAAATATATTATTTAATTTTTCCTAAGTAAAAAAATAAACTACTTAAGAACCAAAATTAAAATAATTATTATTAAATTTTTATTTAATAACTATTAGCTAATAATAGCTTAGTTAATTTATATTTTCTTTTTTATAATTAGTTTAAGTTACCCTCTTCTGCCTTATTTATTCTTTAGGCTCTGGCAGACCTTCTCTGCAGCGCCAATAGTGTTTAAATTACGAGTTTTCGCAGCAGTAGCCATTATCTTAGCAGTGGTTGCCGTCGGTTTCTTATTGCCTTTAGCCATTGTGGCTGTTTGTGCGCCAGACTTCAGTTGGCCGTTGACTTATCTTGTAGTTGTTGTAAGGATTCATTGCTTTTGTGCCTATCTAGTCTGTTTGAGTCATTGAACTATAAGTTGCGGGCTTGAAGCCAGTTGCGTTGTGCTTGAACCTTGTTGTTCGGGCCTTTTTGCGCATGTATCGGTTATACTTTGTGGCCTGAATCTTCGAGGTTTGACTTGGTCGGCTGTGGCCAATCAGGTTGAGCTACGGATTGATTCTGGATCTTAAACCAAAGGCTGGGGCGTAGCCTTCCTCTGACCTAGCTGTTGCAGCTTTACTGAACCTCTTGATAATAAATACAACCTCCATAAGGGGCAGGCGGTGAGAGCGTGGGATGCCGGGCCAATCAAACGCGGGGTTGGGTGGCATTGGTTACCCTGAAGAGCAACTGGACCGGCTGTCTTACTGTTTTGGTCGCCGCCAGCCCCTAAGTCGGCAGCTAGGCCAGGGGACCTGGACGCTTTTCTGCTCATCTCATTTTACTATTCCCTGCGCTGCAGAAGCGAGATTCTGGGGAGTGAAAAAGTCGCTGGAAATCACCCGAGCCCTTGGCGAGCTGCCGGCGTTATTGGGCTTTATTTCGTTATTTTTTGTGACATGAGATTGATTTGGTGGGTTATGGCTTCGCCCCCTTCGTGCCAAGCAGATTGACTACCTATTTTCTGTTGCGGTTCGATTAAGGTTCCAATGAGGTCATTGAAGAGGGCTGTGAAGAAGAATAGAATTGGGGGAGGAAAGCTTCTTTTCGCTTTTATTTCGCATTGGATTATCAGAAGAACCCCTGACACGATACGAGCAGACCAAAGCCCGGCGTGAAACTAGCAGCTGACCCAGCGCAAACAAAAATGCCGTTTCCGAGGGCCACACACGAGGTGATAACCAGCTCTTTGTTGCCGTCGCAGAAAAGCACACGGGGCTACCTCGTTAACAGCGGAAATGTGGTAAGCGTAATACTAGCTGCGTGCCCATTGTGCCATTGCCATTGCCATCCATCCGTTTGATACGAGTACCTGCTATAACGGGTTGCACCAGTAAGCGGGGGGGGTTTCTATTCGTGCGTGCTGTTTAGCCCGAGTCTCGTTCGGTGTGAGCGAAACGGGGTGCGGACACGAGAGAGGGCTTTTTTTTTTTGATTAGATTCTCGTATGCATCTTTTGCCCAAGATGGCGCATTGTGTCGCCTATTCCTAGGACATTGGTAGCGAGAGGGAAATATCTGCGTACCAACCTACCTAGTCTCTTGGCCATGGGACGTGGGTTGACGAGAGCCCGGGCCCGGCAGTACGAGTAATGATGGCATGGCAGACCTGGACGGCCAAGAGGCCAAGGGACGGTGAGAGAATATGAGGAGCAGCCTCGGCTGGCTGGGCATCTTCGTATGATGGCGCAAAAGAAGAGGGAAAAGGGATAGCACTGGTGATGATGAGGGATGTTGTGTATCTGTGACGGCGGTTCGCACTTGTAATACTACCTACTACTAGGTGCCTACCTGGTAGTATGTTCGATGGGAATATGTAACTACTACGGTACTCGCATTGACTCTATTTGGCGGTGTCGAAGAATATAGACCAAGTTCATCTAGCCCGTCTCACGAATGCAAAACGCTTCCAACGGCATCGCCATCCAGGATCAGCATCTTTGATCTGCAGCAGCAGCAGCACCTCAATCAATCAGTCCAATGGAATCCATCCCGCTGATTCGACCTTTCTTGCACCGTTGCAGCGGGGCCCCGCCCGTTCCTGGCCTACCGCCACTAGCGCTGCGACATGGTGCCATCAGGTGCTCCATCGCCCTGCCTTCCAGGTGCCCATTTGCCCATCAAGTGCCTGTTAGGTGCCTGTTAGGTGCCCGTTTAGCAGCCTCTGCAGCCCACTAGCAGCGCCCTCGACCCCCCTGGCCCAGCAGCTGCGTCCGCCCAGAGCGGCCAATTGCAATACGAAACGACCCTTTGCACGGCCAAGAAGGGACTGGGACCTGGCCTGGTAGGTACTCTTTGTGCCTGTGCCCCAAGGGTCCAGTCCTCGAGGCTGCTCCGTTCCAGCGAGTACTTGTACGCCCGGAAACCCTTCCCGCCACAAACATTCCCTTCGAGCTTCGTCCAAAGACACGCCTCGCGCTCGTTTCGACACTCGTTCAATCGTTCGTTTTTGTTTTTTTCGCCCGGAGACGCAATCTTGGGCTTTGGGAAGCGCCTCTTTTTTTTTTTTTTGCTGCTGCTTCCAGTCACTCTTTTTCAGAAACCTCGAGTCGCCGTTGCTTCTTTCCTTTGGCCTCCGCGTCCTTCCGACTGCTTCGCTTCGCCATCGCATCATCATCACTCATTCAACTACTGTTTTTGACCAGAATAACCTAAGCTTCCATAAAACTGCTTTGATCATATTCTTTTCTTGCAACTTGGAGAATTAGCTAGCATTCATCTGCAAATCGACCTTCATCATGCTTGTAAGTTGTCTCTTCTCGCGGCGGCTCACAGCCTGTTTCACATCTGGAGATGCATGAGAGCGGGAGAGAGAGAGGAGAGCCTCATCTGGGGATGAATACAAATCACCCTCTTTGCTGCTGGATTCGTCTATCAGGCTTCATTCTCCTTCATGTACGTGTTTTGACACATTTGTTAACTCGTACTCGCCACAGATGCAATCTGCTCTCGTGGCTCTTGCCGCCACCGTCGTGGGAGCCGTCAAGCCTCTCTCTATCAAGGGAACCGACTTCGTCGACGCCGACGGCAACAAGTTCCAGCTTGTTGGTGTTGCGTACCAGCCCGGCGGCAGTGCAGGATACAACCCCAAGGAGGGCAAGGATCCTCTCAGCGATGCCGATACCTGCATGCGTGATGCTGCACTTCTGCAGGTCATGGGTGTCAACGCTATTCGCGTCTACAACCTCGACCCTAACCTCAACCACGACGAGTGCGCCAGTATCTTCAATGCCGTACGTACTTGCGTTCCTAACCCTCACTCAATCTTTTCGTATTGGTGTATATTCAGCCGCTGACTCTCCCTTCACAGGCTGGCATGTACATGATCCTAGATGTCAACTCTCCTCTGGTCGGCGAGGCTATCACCTCGTTTGAGCCCTGGACCAGCTACTATGAAGCCTACTCTAACCGCACCTTTGCCATCGCCGAGGCCTTCAGCAACTACCCCAACACCTTGCTCTTCTTCTCCGGAAATGAAGTCATCAATGACGTCCCTTCCGCCGAATTTGTTCCCCCCTATCTTCGTGCCGTCACCCGTGACCTGAAGAACTACATCAAGAAGAACATCAAGCGTCAGGTTCCCGTTGGCTACTCGGCTGCTGACGTCCGCGAGGTTCTTTGGGACACCTGGAACTACATGCAGTGCTCCGAGGACGGCGATGCCAATGATATGAGCCGTGCCGATGTCTTCGCCATCAACTCGTACAGCTGGTGCGGCCCAGATGCCACATACCAGAGCTCGTCCTACGATGTCTTGACCGAGAACTTCGGCAACACCTCCATCCCCGTCTTCTTCTCCGAGTACGGCTGCAACACCCCCATGCCCCGCTACTGGAACGAGACGCAGGCCATCTACGGCCCCGAGATGACGCCCGTCTTTTCCGGCGGTGTCGTTTACGAGTACACCGAGGAGGAAAACCACTACGGCCTTGTTAACATCACCGGCGACACCCTGACCATCCTCGGCGACTACAACCGTCTCAAGGCCCAGCTTGCCAAGATCAACTGGGAGAAGGTTCAGACGCAAAAGGCCTCCACCAAGGCCCCGGCTGCTCCCAAGTGCTCCTCCAAGCTCATCCAGGTCAAGGGTTTCGACAACAACTTCACCCTGCCCGTTCCCCCTCCCGGTGTCCAGGGCCTCATCGACAACGGCATCAGCCACAAGCCCAAGGGTGCCCTTGTCAAGATCTCCGACTGGAACGTCAAGCTCAACGTCGCGGATGCTCAGGGCAACAAGATGACCGGCCTCAAGGTTGTTCCTCTCGATGACGATGAGAGCAACTGGAGCGGCAAGAACTCGGCCGACACCGGCTCTAGCAACACCACCTCGAGCGACAAGGATTCTTCCTCGTCCTCGTCCAACAACTCGTCATCTAAGAGCGGCGACAACAAGGATAAGGATAGTGCCGCTGCTTGGATGCGCCCTGTTTCCGTGGCCCTTGCTCTGCCCTTGGTGGCCATGTTCTTTATCTAAATGGCGGGAACTTGTATGTAGGCGACTGTTGTTGATACTTTAGTAATGCACCGTTCAAGGGGGATGAGGGGATACACGAGGAAATTAATGAAGTTGCTTTAATGTAAATATAAAATGTTCTTTCTCATTCTGCTTTGGACCTTTAGATATCCCATTTAGCTCAGCCATGATGATGATTGTCTCTTGCCTCTTTCTCGCTCAAGCAAACTCGTTCCAATATTCTAACAACTCCTAAAGCATTTCGCGGTACCGTAAATATCTCATGGCCCCAAAACTCCCAGCAATGAAATGTCCCCAGTAGCGCAGCGGCAAGCGCGCGTGGGGGCCAGCCCCCAAGACCCCGAGTTAAGGCCATATGCTATTGTGTCCTGTTTTCGTGTAGTTTTTGCGATTCCACTCTTCACTCTTCTCTCCCCCTTCCCATCTCCTCGTTCATCTTCATGATTCCACAGCGGTCAATATTCATTGATGCGAGCCATAGGGGCCCCTGCGGTCCTTATCCTCGGAGTCCCCCTTTGGCGGCTGGTCAATGTCCTTAGTCTTGTCCAAGCTGGTAGTGCATGAAGGGTTGGTCTCGCATGGGAGACAGTAGTCGTGGGTGCCAAAATCGGCAGCCTTGCAGCACCCGGAGCAACAGTAATCGACGGGAGTCGACGCTTCGACGAGGCGAGCCATACTTTATTCTTACACCGAGGATGTGCGGATGGGTGAAAAAGATGAAATGGGCTCTGGTTTGCCTGCGCTGATCGGATTGTCACCTACCCCATAGGGAACCTGGTCAATAACAAAAGGTAAAGCGCAAGAGAGAGATGTGGATAGTTTCTAGAAGCAATTGCATGATAGGATAATAGACAGTCGAATAAGAGGGCACATGATCCCAAATACCCATGCAGCAAGACGAAACTGAGAGAATCCACACACCTCGAATGCACCGGCAGTGGATTACTGTACCCACGTGCCAGCTCAGCAAGGCGGGAAAAAATTTAATCGAGGTGCTGCAACTGATTTGCACTGCCTTTTGCGCACTTCCGGATGCGCTCGTCCCTCGGGAAATTCCCTTTCGACTTCTGACGGGGAGTCACTGGGCTCGAGTAACACAAAGGCGTGGCGGCTTATTAAGTGCAGATAATGACGTGCGTTTGACAGGCTCGCCGAGAGAGGGTGGGGGTGGGGTTTAGAGTTTGTGACCGACGCAGATCGATATCGTGACTCTTTGGTTCCGAAAAAGGACTTGAAAGAGACGAAAAGTCGACAGGTAGATGGGAGAAGTGTGAACCGGGAAAGGAAAAGAAAAGAAAAGAGGGAGAAAAAGAAATAAGAGAAAAAGGTTGTGCGGGAACGAGAGATTTCCCCTCCCCTGTGCCTGGATATTGCACGTTTCGGGGCGTCGTTTATTAAAGGTCTGGCTGGAAGGTGGTGTGGGCGCTCCCTCTGCTTGTATAAGTGCGGTTTTGGTTGGCGCTTGCTTTATGGGGCACGTCAAGGCAAGAGCCAGGGAAAGAGGTAAAATCAAAGACGAGAAGCGGGACTCTGGACTCTGGGCCAAAAAAAAAAATGAGACGGCGAGAGAGACGCAGAGGCGGATACGGGAAGAGGCCGAGAAGCTAGAACAGCCCGGCGGTTTCTTATATACGGGCACTAGGCAGGCAGGCACCTTATGATCCGAGACTGACGCCATCGTGGGCAGAAGGGGCACCGGGAGAGAAGGAAGCACCGTTTAGGTGGTTCCAGAGCAGCCTCAGGGAAAGCGTCATTGGGAGGGAACTGGGATAACGGGAGATGGCAGATGGGAGAGAGGGGGGGAGGAAGCAGGAAGCAGGAGGGAAGAACCGCGATGGGTTTAGCAGGCAGAGCTGGAGAAGCTGCAACTGCCACTGCCACTGCCACACCCCCGGATCCGGCACAGAGCAAGGGACATGGAACATGGACATGGACACGGCAGGATGAACGGCGTGCGATGGGCAGGCACGCGGCCGGAGGGGCTGGATAAGATAACGAGTGGGAGTGGGCAACAACAACCCTGCCCTGACTCTATGACTTTACCCTGTGGAACTGGACGACGCTGGAAAGAGCATCCGCACTGCATTTTCGTTGACTTATCACATCGGAAGCCGCGTCACGCGCTCAGCTGAGGCATGACTTGGGCAAGAAGCATCATCAGATGCGTCGAAGGAAGGCGGCAGAGTCTCATTGCATTTAATCCGGCACATCATGAGGACGACGGGCGACAGGCGAGACGATGGGCCTAGAAGTTTGCGCAACAGCAGAGAGCTGGCGATGGCCCTCTCCCCCCGCCAGCATGGAAATGGAAAATGGAAATCCACAGCGCAGCAGAGCCAGGCAGCTAAGCCGGTGCTATAGTGGCCTTGGACTCGTACGCACTGCCTCCCCGGTTTCACCTCTGCGGTGTGCTCTTCCTCCTCGGCCTACTAAGCCCTTAGCCTAGACCGTCTCCCGGTCCCTTCTCGCCGTCTCTAAGCTGCGAGGTACGAGTACAGTGCTGAGTTGAGTGCCTAGGCATTTCTAATCAATGCATGGATCGATCCGTCTTTGGGGGGAGGGTGGTGCCGGCATCCCAGTGAGCTGACTTACATCACATCACCACCACCAGAGGGATCGAGCGTATCAAGTTTCCGGCCGGCCTACCAGATAACCCCCAAGGAACGATGCGGTGAAGGCGAATGAGGAGAAGAGGAAAGAGAGGGGTAGCTGGTCCAGCTGCTCTTCTCAGCTTCCCTCTCAGACAAGACAGACTGCTGAGATGGGCGATTTCTGCTTCTCCGGCTTTATCCTATTTCCCAAACCCCTCTCGCTGCGCCGTCACGATCCAGTCCCTACGCACGCCGACAACTCCGGGGGCGAGGAAATCGATGCGAGCGATGATCCATCTCAGGGACCGAGGCTCGGTACCACTTATCTCGACGGAGGTAACGACTTAAGTTGGCAGGCCCTTTGCGTGAACGGCTTGGACCTCCAGCCCGCCACGTGGGATGCGGCTCAGAACAGCAGCGAGAAATCGATCTCTCTTGCACGCCAAAACATGCCTCCTTTACCCATTTCGAGAGACGGAAGCAAACAGCCGAAAGACAAAGCGAGTCACCGCACACACATACAAGCACTCATGCCTCTCCGCCTCAAACTGCAAATCCCTCCTGTCCATATCGTCTCCACTGTGAAATGCTCCGCAGATGGACTAGGCACAATCGAGGCAGGGCATCCTGTCCCAGAGACATCAACTACAAGGCCCTACACACTTATCGATCTAGGGCGTGCTTGGAGTGGCACTTCTGTCACTTGGATCAATTCCTCGTATAACCTACATTAGTGTCTGCTGCAGTCCTCTTGGCTTGACGTCACCTGGACGGATGGCACAGCTTCCTTTGACAGGTAATCGGCTAAATCGCGTGGACATGTCAAATTGAGTTTGTATTATCATGTTTGTGTCGTTCATGTCGTCTCGTCTCCTTACATAGGTGCTGCAGACAATCAACTTTCCCTTTACCCAGCCTTTGCTTTCTTCCTCTTTTTTTTCTTCTTCTGCGAAAGTCTTCCCAAGGCTAATAAAAAACAATTAAAGCTTTACCCCACCATTCCCGTCTAGTTTGCAAAATACAAGAACGTAACAATAATAACTTGAGCTGATAGAGAGCTATATCATTGTCCGCATTCCGACCCC